AACGGGCTGCGGAGCGGAGAGCGAGTGCCGGGAGTACGGTCCAGTTGGGGCTGCAGCCCGGGGGGTGGGGGAGGCGGTCCAGTCCACTGGGGACTGCATGGGCGGCAGGGGAGGGGAGCGAGGGACAGTCAGTGGTGGCTGGGGGCCGAGTGGGGCGGCAGGTGGGCGACCCAGCAGGGGACTGGGGGCCTGGCGGAGGTGGGGAGACCTCCAGACCCGGCTGCACAGGGGGCGGTGTCGGGAGGGGCGGTCCCGTGGGGCTGAGGCCGGGCGGGCAGACCCTCCGCGGGTACACCAGGCCCCACACTGCGGCACCCCCGCCCGCGCCACTAGGCGGCCGCGTGACCGAGGTGGGGGGGCGGCGAGGGGGCGGGCCGGGGCGGGCGGAGCGCAGGCCGGGAGGTTAGTGCTCGGGCGGGGGCGTGGTCGGGGGCGTGCCGGGGCGGGGAGTCGCCGCTTTTCCCGACAGCGCCCGCGGCCACGGGTCACCGTGTGCGCCGCGACGGCGCGTGCGCCGGATGCCGGTGGGTCCCCTGCGCCGCCGCCCGCGCGCCCCGAGGAGCGGACGCCTGCCGCCCAGGTACTCCGCGAGGCACGCGCGGGGGGCTGCGGGGTGCGTGCGAGGTCCCGGGCCGCGCGCCGGATGCTCAGGGCGCGGGCGCGGTCCGCGCGTGCGGGACGCGCCCTGGGCGCACGGTGACCCGTTCCTCCCGGCGCTGGCCGTGGGTTCCGCGTGCAGCGCCCCACCCTCGCCTCCGCGCGTGCAGGGAGGGACTCGGGCTTCGCCCGCCCGCCGCCTGATGCCCCCGGACGCATTTCTCCCCGGGGCTCGCGGTGCGCGCCGCTCAGAACCCCTCCTGTCACTTCCGCAAGGTCCAGCTAGTTGGGGTCTGAGGGCCGCCCCGACCCTCGCCCGTCACCGTCGGACTCCGCGTCCCTTAGGCGGGAGGGGCAGAACCGCGTGGACTCGGTGCTGGCGCCCCGGCCCCCTGTCGCGGAACATCCATCCCGAAGCACGTGTTCCTCGGGAGGGAAGGCTGGGGATCCCCGGCCTACCCACCCGACCCGGGGAGCCCTTGGCGCGCCTCCCAGCCCTGTGCCAGGCCCATTTGTCTCCCAGCCCAGAGCTGGAGGCGCGGCTGGCGCGGAGAGTGCTGGAGATTGCCTGGGAACCCCGTGATGTGCTGCAGCCCTCTCCTGAGTGGACCCGACACCTCTGCAGGAGGAAATTATCCCCAAAGGAGCTGTCTGCTTTCCACGCTTGTCCGGAGAGTCCGCGGCCTTGGCGCAGGCGCGCGCGGTGTGCTCATGAGGTTCTTTACAATCTCGGGGTGCCCAGCCCCAGCCGGCCTGGTGTCAGAGCAAAAGTTGGAATCTGAGCCAGCTCAGAAATCCGGAATGCTTCTAGAAAAAGCTGTTTTCCATTCTGCTCAAAGCGCAGGTGGGATTTTGGAGCTGCCTCCTGCTTCCTGGGCAAGTGGCTGGTGTTTCCTCTCTGCAAGCAACCGGCGAGGGCCCTCCTGCAACCCAGATTGGATCAGCAGAGCAGGGACTTTGTGTCCTGGGAGAACTGCTTCCCTCTGCGGGCCTGGGTGCCCAGAGCTCATGGTTGGGGTTCCCGGATGGTGTCCCGCTCCCCCCCCCCCCCCCCCCCCAGACTGTCTTGCTCACTCCTGACTTGGTGCTACTAGTTCTTTCGGAGGGGGCTTTGCGGGATGTTAATAACTCCAGACACTCCAGTTCCTGCTGCTGGGCAAAGTTGATCACTTCCCACGTGTTTTAAACTTGAGGGTTGAGTGTCTACAGCAGTGATGGCCGGGGGTTAACTTTACTCTTTGGAACAGGGAACTGTGTCAGGTGGTTTGGGGGGAGGGTGCAAGGGTTCTTCGTTTGCACTAAGAAGGTAAGGAAACAGCCTTGTTAACCTGGGAGAGTGGTAGCTGGTTTAAAACCCAGGACACATGGTGTTTGGTTTTGGGTCTCCGGGGTAATTAGGTCCTGAAGGAACCAGCAGCTGGTGCTCCACACTACCCCCCCCACCCCCGCCCCAGGACAGGTGCTGGAGGGCTGTGAGGAGGGGTCCATGTGGAACTGTCAGAACCTTCTCTGGGAGGCACGTGATGGGGTCCTTTGCTTGCCCTGAGGAGGCCTGAGGTTGCCTGGTGTTGACTGGGGTCAGCACACTTGTGGTCCAGGCCAGTCCTCTTGTCTGTCACCTGCCCTAAGCATGGGCACCTCATTTGCCGTCTGGGCTGCCCGTGAGCATGTGAGGGGGCCTTTCCACCTTCCCTGCCTGGAGTTCGAGCCTGGGAAGGGCCTCTGTGTTGAGAAGAGCAGTCTGTGTTTTCCAGAGAGGACTTTGAGTCATAGCAGCAGTGGCCGGCCTCCTCTCAGGGTTGGTGACTACCCCCAGCTCAGGTGAGTGGAATAAAGAGACCCAGGGCAGCCGAAGTCCACTTTGGCTGGGGACGCAGGCGGGGCCTCAGGCTGGCTGCCCAGACGGCTGGTTTCTGGGTGGGTCAGCCCTTTTCTTTGAACCTGAGTCCCTGCACGGCGGCCTCTCTCTGGGGAAGCCGGGAGCCAGGGCTGTGCCCCGGGTCCCTCAGACACACTGGTACTGGGGTGCCCCGCGTTTCTTCTGCAGTGGCCGCTCTTAAAAAAGGAGTTCGAATCAGACTCTGGAGTTTTAGCCCGTTTCTGTGTGGGTGCTGCTGCTCCAGGGGTGGGGCCGTGCTCCTCCCCGTGGCCTTGTCCGGCCTGGCTCTGTTCAGAGGGACCTGTCGTCCAGCCCGTTTCAGAAGTCTCGGTGTTGACAAAGTGTGGAATATGAGTCTCAGAAATATACATTCCAGAGTGGCCTTGGGCCTCATGACCCCGGGCTGTCGTTCAGATAAGCTTATCACTCACTGCCTCCCCTTGCTCTGCTGTGGCCTGCCGTGCTCGCCCTCGAGGCCTGCCTGTCCGTTCTTCTGTGACACCAGCTGGGGGCGCTCGAGCTGCCAGGGCTGACCAGAGGTCCGCTGTGCCACATGTGTGCTGCCGTGGGACCTCTTCTCTCGGGAATCTGGGGGCTGCCTGTGCGGGGGCCCCAGGATGGGGACCACCCCCACCCCGAGTTGGAGGAGGGGCAGGGTTTTCCCCCCCTTTTTTTTTTAAAGATTTTATTTATTTATTTGACAGACAGAGATCACAAGTAGGCAGAGAGGCAGGCGGTGACAGAGGAGGAAGCAGGCTCCCTGCCAAGCAGAGAGCCCGATGTGGGGCTCGATCCCAGGACCCTGGGATCATGACCTGAGCTGAAGGCAGAGGCTTTAACCCACTGAGCCACCCAGGTGCCCCAAGGAGCAGGTTTTCTAAATAGCGCTCGGGAAGAATGTCTGAAGCAGAAACGCAAGTGCCCAGTTTTGAAGGGATGCACTCAAGGGTCTGGTACCTTCTGTGCTTCTTGCGTTTTCTCTGCCATTTCTGGTGTGGGCCAGGGTGAGGCTGGGCTGGCAGTTGGGCCGCAAACGTGCTCTTTGTCCAGGGTGAGCATTTCCGTTCATAACCTTGGAGAGTGGGTCCGGGCGCCTGGGCAGAGGAGAGCTTAAGTCCCCCTTTCCAGTGGGTGTGCAGTGGGTGGGAGACTCCTCCTGGGCACCAGAGACCTGGGGTGCACTGGCCCTGCAGGGGGTGGGGGGCCAAGCCAGCTAAGGGGCTGCAAGTGTGAGTGAACACAGCGTGGTCCCCAAGGTGCGATGCATGTGAGCCCGGGGCTCCATGAGCTGTGGGGACACGGGGCCCTCAGCTTCAGGTGCTTGAAGAACAGGCAGCCACAGAGGCTTGGGCGTCTCCCCCACAGCTGGGGGGGCTCTCCACTCCCACCATTATAAACCGGGTGGGGGGCTAGGTTGTCCAGCTTGTACCCCGCACTGGGCAGTGTTCCCAGATTTCAGGTATGGAGCTAGGGGGTGGGCTGGGAAGGAAGGGGCTCCCTGAGACCCTGTCTCTGCAGACGCTCCCCCTAGCCTGGGAGCTCCCTGGCCAGCCCCTGGGTTGGCTCCTTGCATGCCCGTCCTTCTGGGGTTTGGGGCTGTTGTTACCCTGGAGGACTCCTGGGAGCCCTTCCGAGCAGTGGTTGGGCGCCGCCTTGCCACGCCCCCCCACCCCGGGGGCACTGGATGTGGAGCTCTGCACGTCCAGCCAGGAGTCCTGAGGCAGCGTCCCCTGCAGGTGCTGCGCTGTTCCACCTGCTGAGACATGCCTGTGGGATGTGTTAAGGTGCAGAGTCCGGGGCCATGACCCAGACCTTCAGATAGCTGCAGCGGGCAAAGCCCAGAGTGGGAGTTTCTAGCAGTTCTCAGCGTAGCGTACGAAGCACTGCTCCTCGGTTTCGGAAGCTGTAGGAGTCCAGGATCCAGAGCGGAAAACATTAACGTGTTTGGTGCTGGTGTTTGAAATTTCCACTACTGCCCCAGGACTTGGGGACACCAGGTGAGGGAAGTTCCTGTTGCTTCTGGAGGTGACACCTTTTGAACAGGAGGGCCAAGTCCTCAGGGCTCCCGATCCCCTGGGGGCAGGGGCGGGGCAGGTGTGGGTGGGGACACACTCCCAGGGACCCTGGGCTCAGGTGGCTTCTCAGCTGCTCACCCGGAGCTGGAGAGCTTACCTGGCCGGCAGCCAGGGAGTGGACCTGGGAGTAGGAGAGTGAGCTGGAGGGGAGTCTGAGGGCTGGGGTGGGTCCCCAGGAGTGCACCCCAACGTGGGAGTGGTTCTGCCTGTGGCAGGCCCTGGGGCCCTCCCATCCGTTTTTGTTTGTTTGTTTGTTTGTTTTTTAAAAAATTTTATTTACTTATTTGACAGAGATCACAAGTAGGCAGAGAGGCAGGCAGAGAGAGAGAGGAGGAAGCAGGCTCCCTGCCGAGCAGAGAGCCCAGTGCGGGGCGATCCCAGGACCCTGGGATCACGACCTGAGCCAAAAGCAGAGGCTTTAACCCACTGAGCCACCCAGGCGCCCCCCCCCCATCCGTTTATGCAAGCTCCCAGTGGGTTTGGGAAAGCACGTACCGGAGCCTGCCCTCAGGAACCCTTGGCCTGTGTCCCCAATGTAACAGTTTCCCACAGGTGCAGTTGGGGGGGGGCAGTGGAAGCTGCAGCTCCCCAGCCTGGCCGATGGTTTCCTTTGGCCTCTTGGGAGCACTGAAGGGGATCAGCCCAGGACATTATAACTCCTGTGGACCACCCTCTCTCCCACATCAGTGGCTCCCTTAGAAACCTGGCATTCCCGCAGCTACACCTCACCTCTGCCCTGCCGTTCCTTGTCGCACCCACAAAGAGACCCACAGCCTGTCTTCTTCAGGGCTTCACTGCTGTCCCTTCGTTGTCCCTGTGTCACAGAAATAAGCATAGATGTTTAGATGGTGGGAATGGTTCTGCTCATTGGGCCACACAGTTCACTTAGCTGAGGCCCCAGCCCTGGTGTGGAGGACTCCGACTGCTGTCCATGGTCCTGGGTGGGGAGGGTGTCCTCGGCAGTCCCCTGGCTTTTCTGGGCCTCATCCTGGGAGGAGTGGCGGGGGGTGGGGGGCACTTCCTGCTTGGACAGTCTTGAGCTACCTGTGTTGGGAATCTGGTGGCTATTCCTCGGGGTCCCTGGATCCCGCATCTCCACCAGGCTGGCCCCACATCTTGGGAACTTTTTGTGCCCACTGCTGGGAATTGGAGAGGGTTTCTCCATGGATCCAGACCCTCTACAGTCACCCTCTGTGACAGGCCGTGCAGGAATGAGCACAGAGCTGTCCCAGCACCTTTCAAACTAGCCGCCCTTCTGCTCTCAGGGCACCCCTGCCTCACCTGAGCCACAAATCCCCTTGCACTGGCCCCCTTCTTCACCTGACACAGTTGACTGCTGCTAGCTTTTGACTCATTTAAAAAAGAACTTTGTATCAGTGCCATAAACACAAAAGCCATATCCCTTGACACACAGAAACATAGTAACAAAGATAAACAGTGGAACCTGGTAGGTAGATCTGACTCCCTGCTCCTCTCTGTTAGGTGTAGTGGGATTGGGAAGGGTGGGAGCCCTCTGGACGGAGCATTGTCCCCGTGTGACCTAGCGGTCTAACTAGTGCTGCTTCTAGCTCTGCCCAGAGTGCCCCTGGGTGAGGCTGCCCTTGGGGAACACATGCCTCTGGCTGCTTCTCTTTAGGGGGGCCTCAGGGGCTGCCAGGGTCAGAAGCCTTAAGGTCTGGGCCTCTGTCCCATATACTGCCCTTTTGCCGCCCCCAGCTCCCCGCGGCTCCTGCGGCTCCCTTTGCCCTCCTCAGCAGCAGTCAGCTTTGCCAGAAAACCCCATCTGCCACGTCCCCCAGTTTTGTGCCTGGAGTCCCCCCACCAGAGACTGACGGGACGGCACTCCCAGGCTGCACTTGGGGCCACCAGCCACCCTCACTGTGTGCCTGGCGTCCCGGCAGGACCCTTCCAGCCTGCACGCTCTGAGCCGTCTTGGGGCCAGGTGACACTGTGGTAGCTCTGGCTGGGTGCCGTGTTGCCAGCCGCTCCCCTGGGGCCTCTCCTGGGGAGAGACGTGGGCGCACGGCCACAGCCACCCACTGTGAGCTCATGGGAGGAGTTTGGGTGCCTGAAGGATGGGATTTTAAGTTGTGTTTGGTTTGAGTTGATGGATACTTAAGGTGAATTACGGGCCAATCTTGTTGGTCCCCTGGTGGTGGTGACTGCCTGGGTTGGCTGGGCCAGACGTCTGGGCTGTGACATGCGCCGAGCCTTTCTCGGGCCTGGGGCCCCCTCCCCGTGTGGACGTTGTGTCCCAACCACGTGAGAGAGCCCTGAGGTTTGTGGGGAGGAGGCATGGGGTCCGAGGGCTGTTGGTGGAGCTGCCCTGAGCCCGTGCTCATTTTCAGGAGCGCCATCGTCTCATCCGGGGCCACCAGGGGGCTGGGCAGCATGGTGCCCTCCGGCCAGGTGGTGGAAAAGCAGGAGCCCACGGAGCCGGGGCCAGACCCAGAGCTCAAGTCCTGGAGGTGCCTGGTGTTCTACCTGTGTTTCTACGGCTTCATGGCGCAGTTGCGGCCAGGGGAGAGCTTCATCACACCCTACCTCCTGAGCCCCGATAAGAACTTCACTCGGGAACAGGTACGTGGGCTCCCTGGCCCAGAGTGGCTGAGCCTGCAAGGTTAGGTGGGTGATGGTGTGGTGGGAGGGGTCCTGCCCTCTGCCCCCCTCCCCCCCGGCCCAGGGCACCTTCACGCGGGGGGTGGGGGGGGGACTTGGACTGCTAAGCAGGCTAGTTGAGGAGTGATGGCAGGCCGCAGAGGGGTCCGCGTCTGCTGAGGGTCGGAGGGAAGAGTGCGTGGAGGGGGGCACCCCACAACCCACCCCCCCCACAGGGGCTCACGTGGCGGGAGACCTCTAACAGCCGTTTGCCCAAAGGGACCCGGAGGGATTGACTCGGCAGAAGGATGAAGATCTCCTGGTTGGAACTTGGGTAACAGTTTCTACCCCAGGGCTGTAGAGGTGGGAAAGCAGTCTTCTCCCCAGAGCTTTCCTTATCAGGAGAACAAGAGAGCCAAAGGGCTGTTGGTAGATAAAATGTGCCGTCAGGCCTTCTGTCTGGGTGAGGCCTTCTGTCTGAGCCTGGGTCCCGCCCTGCTCCTCCTGCCCCCGGTCCCAGGCTGACGCTGCCCTGTGCTCCCTGGTCCAGCCCAGCCCGTGGCCTCAGGCACTGTCCCCTCCAGCGCGTCACTGTGGCTATGCGGCTGGGTCCCACTGAGCCGCGGGCTTTCTCTGGGAGCCTGGCCTTTCTCCCTGACTGAGAGCCTGACCCCTTCCCCTTGGGACCTTAAGAATTCTTAAAAGTCACATGGAGTCGCTGTGCACGTGAGGCCTGACCTGACCTGCCTCAGGTGGGGGCCGGGCCCGCAGTGGCTGGTGTTGTGGCCTCTCTGGCTTGTGTCTGCCCCGGGCATGCGAGTGGGGTTAGGACGGCCTCTGCGGCGTGTCCCCGCTGGGCTGACTGGGGACACTTGTCCGCACATGTCCAGGCTGCCCTGACCTCAGTGCACTCTAATCCTTGAACTGGTGCTTCGATAGCGTCTGTTAGCCCCGAGGGAAATCTGCTGCAGGTGTCCTGGGCACTGCCATGTGCGGGCCTGGTGTCGCCGGCGCAGACTCCTGCCCCTGCCACCCGTGTGGCTGGCTGCCCGTTTCCCTCCGTCCCCGGCAGCGGACTGGCACGGCTGGGTCTCTGCCCATCTGATAGCCATTGAGAGCTGGCTTGCTCGGCATGTACTCCTTTGGTCTGCACAGTGGGCCCTGGGCCTGGCTGGTACCTGCGGTCCCGGAGCTCACTGTGCCGGCCTCCACATCTTCCTGCGGGGCTGTCCCCCTCCTGGTTGCCCTGGGGGATCGGACTGTCATCTGTTTCTCCCTGTCTGGGCCAGTCACTCACTTTGCTCATGGTGTCCTGTTATGCTGGGGTTCTAAGTTCTGGTCCTGCCAGATTGTCCCTCCTGCTTCTTCATGGGGGACGCCCCCATCCTCCCTGGCTTAGTGACCACCTGGCCCCGGGGGTGGGGGGGAGGCTGGCTCTATCTTCACGCCTGTGACGCCCTTCCATAAGGCTGCCTAGGCTGAGTCCACGGCGCCACGCCCATGGGGAGCCCCCACCCGGGACTGCTCACAACACTCTTCCTCGCGGGCCTGGCCCCACCTGTCACCTGTCAGCCTGGGATCATCAGGGCCCAGCAGGGAAGGCCACTGTCCCGCTCCCCTGCCCTCCCCTTGCACAGGCTTCAGCACCCCTCCAGGTGTTGCCAGGGATCGGGCTCGCGCTTCCTGATAGATTTTGGGGTCCCTCGTCCTGCTCCTGAGAACCCACTGTTTTGCGTCCTTCTTGTCCTTGCTGTGGCTCTGCCGCCACCTCCCCCGTTGTCCTGGCTGCTTTTGGGCCCAGCCGAGCCTGCCCATTCAGAGAAGCAGCTGCCCAGGAGCCACCTGGATCCAGATCCGGGCACGGTTCCTGTGCTTTGCGGTCAGCCTGGCCCTGGCCCATCTGCACACTAGGCTCCTGGGAAGGCGTCCAGGCAACACTAGGCTCAGCCAATAGGAAGCTGTCCTTGTGCCAAGTGCTGGGCCACTTGACAGATGCCACCGAACCCCAGGGACTTTGTGGGTGCCCACTCCCCTAGTACCTTCCAAGTATGATGTGGGTCTGCCGCCTCTGCCGGCCCGTTGGCCTGCCAAGCCCGAGGAGAGCCCATGGAGGATGTGGGGCAGGGCGAGAAGGGCAAGAGGAGGACGGAGGGGGGGAAGGGAAGGAGGGGTAGTCGGTCCTCCCGAGTCTCTACTCCTTGGGCTCTGTGGCTAGCCGTCATAACTGAGGGGCTGGTGGATGACCTGGGACACATGCCCACGTCTGGACTTGAGCCAGGGCCCCGTGGTTCTCAGTGATCCACTCTAGGGTCTTCTTTCCCCTGGGACTGACCTGCACTCAGTCTCGGCATTCCTGGAGGCCTTTTGTGCACGGTGCTGTGGGGACCACAACCTTTGGGGTCATCCTTGGCTTTCCTGTTGGGGTGTGGGTTGACGAGGCCACTAGGCGCAGAAGCCTCAGCCGGGAGGGGATTCAAAAGCCTTCCTGAGAGTCGCTGAGGCTTGGCCACCTGGGGCTGAGTCTGGGCACAACCCTAGAAATGCTGTTCCACCCTCGTCCGGAACTGCCTGAGGCTCCCCCTGGGTGGGCAGGGCTGCAGACAGCCGTGGGTGAAGGCTGAGGCACCAGGGTCCACCCAGCCACCCGGAGGCTGGCAGGTGGCGGGCACAGCACAGCCCCACGTGCTGACCCGAGGCGCCATATGGTCCCTCTGTTTCCTTATGTGGGGCCTTGGGGCCTGCTGGCTCTTGGGGCTGGCTCAGGGGTGGTTCTGGTGCCCGAGTCAGGCTTAGTGCCCCAAGCCCGTGGGTCCCTAGGGAGGCCGTGATCTCTGAGGGCCCAGCTGGGACTGCCCTGGTGGATTGGAGCCATGGCCAGAGCCCCCTGATGGAGTCCGGTGGGGCTGGGCACAGGGCTTCCCTCGCAGCGTCCCTGTGCCCTGGGACCCCCTGAGGTGAGCCGCGGGTGCTGTCCCTCTGCAGAGAGGTGAGGCCCTATCGTGGCCACTGCTCTTCTGTTCCCTTTTCCTTCTGGCTTCCTCCCTCCCTGTGTTCCGTGGAACCTGCTGCCTGAGGCCTCCTCCCAGGCCGAGGCATACATCGGTCCCACTGTCAAGGACAGGGACAAACCAGGTCACGTTTTCATCTCCTAAAAGCCAGTGAACCTAGGTTGCAACACGTTCTGGTGTCATTCGGGACCATCAGCGGGTCGCGCCGGCTTTCCACAAGCTGTGGGGGCTGGGCCCCAGGGAGCCGTGGGAGGCCCGCACGGTGGGTGCCCTCTGATGTGGAGGGGCTCGCCCACGACCGTCCCGCCCCCCCCCCCCCCCCCCGCCCAGCGTCACGAGCCCGCTGTCCCCCAGGTCACGAACGAGATCACGCCGGTGCTGTCGTACTCGTACCTGGCGGTGCTGGTGCCCGTGTTCCTGCTGACCGACTACCTGCGCTACACGCCGGTGCTGGTGCTGCAGAGCGCGAGCTTCGTGGCGGCCTGGCTGCTGCTGCTGTTCGGCCGCTCGGTGCTGCACATGCAGCTCATGGAGCTGTGCTACAGCGTCACCATGGCCGCGCGCATCGCCTACTCCTCCTACATCTTCTCGCTCGTGCGGCCCGCGCGCTACCAGCGCATGGCCGGCTACTCCCGCTCCGCCGCGCTGCTCGGCGTCTTCACCAGCTCGGTGCTGGGCCAGCTGCTGGTCTCGGCCGCCGGCGTGCCCTTCTCCACGCTCAACTACGCGTCGCTCGGCCTCCTGTGCTGCAGCCTGCTGCTCGCGCTCTTCCTGCGGCGGCCGCGGCGCAGCCTCTTCTTCAACCGCGACGCCGCCGCGCGCCGCGGGGCCGCCGCCTCCGAGCTGGCCGGCATGAACCCGGCCGCGGCGCGGGGGGCCTGGCGGGACTGGACGCTGGCGCGCATGCTCCGGGAGCTGGGGGCCACCGCGCACTCGCCGCAGCTGCGCCTCTGGTCCCTCTGGTGGGTCTTCAACTCGGCCGCCTACTACCTGATCGTCTACTACGTGCACATCCTGTGGAACGTGGTCCACCCCACGGCGGACAGCGCCTCGGTCTACAACGGCGGCGCAGATGCCGCGTCCACGCTGCTCGGTAGGCCCGCGGCCCCGCCCCCCCGCGACCCCGTACAGCCCCGCCCCCCCGGGGCGGCGGTGACCTGTCCTGTCCCCCCAGGTGCCATCACCTCCTTCTCCGCGGGCTTTGTGAAGATCCGCTGGGCGCTGTGGGCCAAGCTGGTCATCGCGGGCGTGACGGCGGCGCAGGCCGCGCTGGTGTTCCTCATGTACAGCACCAGCAACATCTGGCTGTGCTACCTGGCATTTGTGCTGTTCCGCGGCGCCTACCAGTTCCTGGTACCCATCGCCACGTGAGTTGACCCGAGTGCGGGGCTGTTAGGACGATGTCTGGGCGGCCACTGACGTGCCAGAGCTCAGAGCGGGCAGTGGTGGGCAGCTGGGAGTGGACAAAACATCTGGGTCTATGAAGAGGCGTCTTTTCTGGAATGTTCCACTGGGAGCAGAAGGGGTGTGTGCAGGCAGTGCTGAGCTCGCTCAGTGGTGTGCACTCGTTCGTGTCCGGGGCAGCGGTGAACTGGGCTTTCTCAGTCGGGCCCAGTCGTCCCGTTGTCCACAGCACAGCCTGTCTTGGCTTCCGTGACCCTGAGTTTGATGTAGAGCCTGGGCCCCGTGCTGTCCCCTCTGTTACTCCCACGGAGGCTACTTGCTGGCCACGGTCACCAGCCATTGTGAAGCTGTTCTTGCCAGCTCCCTTCCCTGTTTTCGAGGCCCCAAGTCCTACTGTGGGCCCGTCTGTGGTGCACAAGGCCTTTCCCGTCCCCACCCACCACAGGGCAGTGACACACAGCCAGGGAGTGACCAGGTAGCCCCGCTCGCCCTCTGCCAAGAGCTCTCCTGGTGCCCTAGCATTTCTCACACCCCTGGGGACTCCCCTCTGTCTGCCCAGGGATGTCCCCAGAGCTGCCCTTCTGCCCACTTCTGCCTTCCAAACCCTTCTCCACCCCACATCCTGCTCGCCGCCAAGACCCTGGTGTGCTTGAACTGACCCTTTCCTGGGGCTGATGCCACACACCCAGTCACACGTGTGGCTTGCACCCAGCGGGTGGGCCTGGCTCTGTTACCAGCTGCCCTTCTCTTGACCCTGGTTCCTTGCTGGGCCTCACTCCTCAGGACAGGGTGGGGGACCCTCCTGGTCACCCCGAGTTAGAATGACTGTCCCCACTGGTTCTTGCGCTCAGGCGGCATCCCCAGCTCCTGGCACGGTGGGGCCACCGACTCTGTGCTCCCCGTGGCCAGGGCCCAGTCTTCCCTGCTTCCCGGCACAGCTCCCCCTCTCTCAGCGGGCAGATGTCCTGGAAGCACCTCCTTGGTACGCTCCCACTTGGAAAGGGCTCTAGGTCATCTCGCACTGCCATCCACTTCTTTATCTCTGCTGCTGGAAGGTCTTTGCTGGTTGTAGAAACCATGGGAGAGGTGAGGTTCAGCATAGGTAGGTGTGGGGGAGAGAGCGGGTGCTGCCGCCTCCTCCTACCCGAAGCCTGGCTGCTGGCTCTCGGGTGTCTGGCCTGACGTGGCTCGGAGCTCGGCCCTCGGCCTCTGGCCCTGCCTGCCCAGCTGCCCACGTCCGCCAACATCCTCAGGCTCTTGCCGGTGCTGAGCAGCCGGGCCCCAGTTGGCAGGGGTGACGTGCACGGTGATTTCCTGTGACAGCCCTGAGGTCAGCACCCTCTTGCCTACTTGTGGGCCAAGCTGGTCATCGCAGGTGTGACACGTTTCTTTCTCTGCATCGGGATGGTGGCCACAGAGGGGTCCCAGGAGGGGGCTGGCCGGGCAGAGTGCAGGCTTTGGAAAGGAGGTGTTGGCAGATAGCGGGCAAGCATGTGGTGGGCCTGTGGGCGTGCAGGCCTGATGGCCTTCCCGTAGGGACAGTGTGGTCGGCTCCTCCCTGCTGTCAGTGGCCTGTTCGTTTCTGGCCTTTTCTGCTGGGTTCTCTGCTGCGCTTGCGTCAACCGAGTATGGGAGGAGCCTCCCGCTGTGTGCCGCTGGCATGGCTCCGTTTGCTCCCACTTGGGTTCGTGGAGGCCGTGGGGGACACGCAGAGTGGTGGCGTGGTGTTCTGCCATGGCGGGCACATGGCCCAGCATGGGCTCCCTCCAGTTCTCCGCCTGACGCGCTCTTTCTCTTGCTCCGTGTGCTGTCACGCTGCTGCTCGTCTGGGCCCGGCGGGTCTGTCATGCGCCACCCCTGACCCAGCACGGTGGCCCCGCTCGCCCTCGGTCATATTCTTGAAAGGCTTCTCGGGTGTGTCTGCGTCATCGCTTTTCAGAGCTCTAGAGTGTCTCCTGTCCAGTCACTTGTTTCTGGAGGTTTTTCTGCAGCGGATCAGGAGGTGAGCACAAGTTTGTTCTCCTGCTTTCCTTGTGTGCATTACTGCTGTGTCCCTAACTTACCACATCTTCAACAGCGAACGACCGCGCTTCCCCGAGATGCTCTGCCCGTTCTCATGAGGATGACCGTCTCTGCCCCAGATTTACCGGGAGACATTTCAAACATCGTCCTGGGGGCACACTTGTCCTCGGTCTTGGATTCACAGAGCCGGATCTCGTTGCCGGGCACGGGGGGTGGACGGCTGCCGGCTGGACTTGCCGAGTCCCTTCGAACTGTGGGCGCCTCTCATTCCCCCAGAGTCTGACTTTGGCCGCTTTCCCGTTCAGTTTTCAGATCGCGTCTTCTCTCTCTAAAGAGCTCTGTGCGCTGGTTTTCGGAGTGAATACATTCCTTGCCACCGTCCTCAAGACCATCATCACCCTCATTGTCTCTGACAAGCGGGGTCTGGGCCTCCCAGTCCACTCACAGGTGAGCCCACTTCAGCCTTGCTGCCCGGGGGACGCGGGTGTCTGGGTAGCGGCATCTCCCACCCCACGGGCCTGGGGCTGTCGGTCTACTGGTGGGGCGGAGGGGTTGTGTGCAGGGTGGGCCGGGCATTTCCGGCCAGACGCACAGACTGGAGTGGAGCAGGGAGGGGAGGGTGGCCAGATGCCCTCTGACCTCTGTGGCCAGCGCAGGTGCTGTCTGTCCTTTTTGGAGGAGCTCTGACCAGCCCCCATCGTCCCCCATGCCGGCTGGTGTCCCAGGAAGGATGGAGGCCTGGCCGTGAGCCCTTCCCTTATGTGGTCCCACCTCACTGCCCTCATTTGAGAGCTCTGCCCTTGTCAGTGCCTGTCAGACCCGGCCACTGGCTCACGGGCCAGCTCTCTGTCTACCATATGTGTGACATGTGTGGGGGACATGATGTTGGTGCCTGCTGGCCTCTCTCCAGCCCCTTCCCTCGCCTAACCCTGAGCGCGTTCTCGGTGCTTCTGAGAGGAGCTGGAGAGCTCTTGTTCCCGGGAGGTTGGGGGACACTCACATGTGTGACTCCGGGTGGTCTCAGCCAAGGCAGGACCTGTCTGGGCCAGCTGGAATGAGCCACAAGATGGTAACCGGGACCCTGGACCAGTGCCGTCAGCCAGAGGGGCTTGTGGCCTCCATCTGCCTGGAGCCCGGACACCCCGAGCTTGGAGGGCTCCATAGAGAAGTCCCGACCTCCATCTGAGGGGGCTGAGTGGGCACAGCCTCGGTGACCGCAGATCTGACTGGGAGGAGGTGCTGGGCAGGACAGACCTCCTCATTTAGAGACGGGCCCGTGGGGTTTGGGTGTGCCCTTGGGGAGTAGGAGATCTGAACCATCTGCCCCTGTCTGCAGGCTTCTGGGGGGCCTCTAGGCTGAGCACTGGGACTGTCCCGCCCAATGGGGACAAGTGCAGCTCACCTGCGGGTCGGCGGGGGGCAGGAGCTGTGCCCTGTGCCTGGGGGCGGGCAGGTGGGGGCCTCGCCCGGAAGCAGCAGCCTTGGCAGGGGACCACCCTTGGCCCCCGATTTTCCACGGTGCCTGGCCTGGCAGCAGCACCTGGGAGGAGACCCCACGGGTCACCTCTGGGCAGCGGGGTTGTTAGTGTGGCTGGACGGAGGCCCATCTCGGTTCCCGGAGGGCTCAGTGGACCCAGCCACACGGCAGCCCCGACCTCAGGTCGCTACCCCTGTTGATGGCCCTGTTCAGCCTGGGGGGCCCAGGGGCAGTGTGCCTGGAGGCCGGGCCGTGCTCCGGGGCCCACGTTTGGAAGGGGGGCTGGGGGTTCTTCCCCAGGGGCTGGGCCTTTCCATGTAGTACGTCCCGGCTATGTTGGGTCAAGTGCAGAGAAAAATACATTGGATTTTCTCTGGCTGGTCTCATTTCCCAGTTAAAAAATAAATGTAGATGTGGGGTGGTTAGTTCGTGATCAGAAACGCTGACGGGAGCCGCAGGGAAATCCCCGCTCACGTTCCCTGTTCATGGCCGGGGTGTCCCTTCATGTCGTCCCATGTGCTTTTCACCGTAAAATAAAACAGCAAACATGGGCGTGTTTGGGAGCAACAAAGAATGACAATTCAGAACAAGCCACAGCCAAACCACAGGCGGGCCTGACCCACCCAGAAGAGGGGCGCGTTCTGTGCAGAAGGAGGAGGCATGGGAGGTGGTTCTGGACCAGCGTCCGCAGCAGAAACCAACGGTTCGGGCTGTGGTGGTTCCTCAGCTTCTCCTTAGCCGGGCGGCGGGGGTGGCTGGTTTCTTGCAGGAGATTCCGTGCGCTTCGCGGTGGGGGCCCGTCCCTGGTGATTCTCTCCTGCGGGGGTGGCCCCGTGGGGTCCGAGGCCGGCCATGCTTCCTGGAACTGCGGTGAGCGCCAGGGCCCCCTGCCGGCCTCCAGACTCCGCTTGGGGGAGGCTCACCTTCAGCGACTCTCGGTTTTGAGAGGGACTCAGCGTTCAGGCTGGATGGAGACTCGTGGGACCCGGGGCACAGCAGGTGGGGCGCTGGCCTGGGTTTGCTTGTTTTTTAAGTTAGACTTTATGTTTGGGTAACCATACGTTCCGATGCAGCGCGAGAGGTAACACAGACCCATGTGCCTGTTCCCACTGTCCCCACCGGACACGCCCTGAGGGGTGGTGTCCCTCTGGGGGACTGACCTTACACAGGCGAGAGCGAGAACGCCCCGGCCCTTCAGGGCCCTGCAGTGGCCGTTCCTGGCCACAGCCCTGACCCCAACCCTACAGTCCCTACACCGTTTCTGTATCTTCTTTCAAGAGTGTCACTTAGGTGGAATCGTGGTCTGTCACCTGTGGGTTGGGCTTTCTCACTCAGCCCGCCCCACCCCCCTGGGATCCACATGGGTCACCATGTGCTCGTGTGTGTGTGTGTGTGTCCGTCCATCTGTTGCCGCCCTCCACTGGGTGGTGGACACGGCGTGTGTGCTTGGTCCCCGTAAAGGACTCTGGGCTGTTCCTGGTTGTTGGCTGTTGTGGACCCAGGAGCCTTGAGCACTGAGCGCAGGCTGTGGCTTGTCCGGGTGCGGGCGCGGCAGAGCCGTGGCCTACTCCCGGGGACTGCTCTGCTTTGCCTTCCTGCCGGCAGGGAGAGCCAGTGCCCCAAATCCTTCCGGGGTCATCCCTGCTTTTTACGGAGCATCTGACTGGCTGGGGTGGTGCCTGTTTGTGGTCCCGATCGCGTGTCCCCGATGTCACAAGCCGGGCTCTGCCCTCGTGCGCCCCCCGCACGTCGTCTGCCGAGACCGCCCTCCGCTCTGCTGCTTTCCCACCTGGGGCGGCTTGTTTTCACTCTTGGGGTTTGAACGTTGTCTGTCTGTTGGAGGAACTAGTCCTTTGGGGGATTTACACCAGACCCTCGAGCAACACGGTGTGGACTACGTGGGTGCACGTAGACGTAGACTTTTTCAGCAGACCTAGTGCTCGCGACAGGCGTGTTTTCCTGACGGTTTTCCGTAGCGCTGTCTGCAGCTGACCGTATTGCGGGAGCGTGATCCGGGGCACACACGTCCGTGCACACGGTGTCAGCCGCGTCACTGGTAGAGCCGCCGCTCAGCGGCAGGTGACCAGCGGTCAGTCGGACATTCCCTGCGGCACCTCTAAACCCTGCGTTCTCAGGGTCGGCTGTGTCTGGTTCGCAGCTACACGGCGGCTGTGGCTCGTCTTTCTGCCCTGACAGGGTTGTGCAGAGCAGAACGTCTTCATTTTGGCGAGGTCTGATTCATCTGTTTCTCCCGTTACGGATCTGAGTTTTGGTGCCAAGTGTAAGAGCTTTTGGCATAACCCAGGCTCTGGAAGTTTCCCTCGGTATCTTTTCTAAAGTTTTAAAGACTGGCCCGGTCGGAAGAGCATGCGAACTCTTGACCCGGGGGCTGTGAACATGAGTCCCACGTTGGCTGTAGAGAGTAGTAAAATACATACGTCAGCCTGAAGAAGAAAGACGTAAACGGGGCACCTGGGCGGCTCAGTCGGTTAAGCGTCCACCTCTTGGTTTCGCTCTGGTCATGTTCTCAGCGCCGTGAGCTCGAGTCCCGCCTTGGGCTCTGCGCTGGGTGTGGGGTCTGCTTAAGATTCTCTCTCCCTTCCCCCCCCCCCACCCCCCTTCTAAACAACAAAATACAAAAAGCAAAGGGAACAACGTTCTGTAGTTGCGCATGCAAGTCTGTGAGCCGTCCTGAGTGTGGGGTGTGAGGTTTCTGTCAAGGCGGCTCGTCCGCCCACGTCCCGCCGCGCCAGGGCTCTCGTTGAAGAGACGCTCTTCTCCGCGCCTGGGTCAGGATCCGGTGGCGCGTGTCTGCGTGAGTCTGCCTGTGGCGTCTCTGTGTGTCCCTGCGCTCTGCTCCCACCCTTCGCCCGCAGCCTCCCGCTCTCTGGCCACATGGGATGCTCCGAAACGGGGCAGACCGATTCCTCCAGCTTTGACATGTTTCTTCAGAATCGTTTTAGCTGTTACAGCATCTTTGCCTTTCCGTGTAAATTTTGGAGTCATTGCGTCGACCTGCCGAAGGCCTGGCTGGTCTCGTGAATGTTGCGCTGAGTCATTTCTGGGAGACGGAAGACCTCTGCTCTGTCGAGTCTGCCGTCTGTGGACAGGTGCACTCTCCATTTAGTTAGTTAGTTAGAACTTTCTGGGTTTCTTTCGGCACTGGTGGTTCTCAGCATATATTGTACCTGCTGTGTTAGATTTCTACCTGAGTATTTCGTCGTTTTTTCCAGCAGTCGTGAGTGATACTGTATTTTTAATTTTAGCGTCTGCATGTGCTGCTAGGGCTGCCGTATCAGAACAACAGAGGGCCGGCGGCTCACACAGACTTTATTTTCTCGCAGTCCTGGAATCTAGAAGTCTGAGACCAAGGTGTGAGCAGGGCCGGCTCCTCCTGAGCAGCCCACTGGCGTGCAGACGTCGCCTTCTGTGTCCTCATGTGGCCTTTTCTCTGTGTGTGTGTGCACGTCTGTGTCTCTCTCCTCAGGACACCAGCCCCGTTGGAATAGGGCCCACAGTTAGGACCCTCTTTGACCTTAACCACCTCCTTGAAGGCCTTGTCCCAGATAGGGTCGCACTGGGAGTGAGGCTGTCACAGGCGAACTTTGAGCAGGACACAGTTCAGTTCATAGCAGTATCTGTGTGTCGTGAACACCCAGAAATAAAGTTGGTGCTCGAATGTTGGTCTTTCACAGTCTCGCTGAGGTCATTTATTGGTTCAGGAGGTTTGTTGTCCCTGTATTTTTAATTTCCTAGTCTTGCCTTCCTGAAGCTGGCTTGAACTTTCTCTGTCTCTTTTTGTAAATTTATTTGACAGACAGAGATCCCAAGCAGGCAGAGAGGCAGGCAGAGAGAGAGAGGGAAGCAGGCTCCCCGCCAAGCAGAGAGCCCGATGTGGGGCTCGATCCCAGAATCCTGGGACCATGATCCAAGCCAAAGTCAGAGGCTTAACCCACTGAGCCACCCAGGTGCCCCTCGAACTTTCTCTTTATCATTTCCTTCTACTTGCTTTATATTTCTGGTGTTCATGTTTTTCTAGGTTCGTGGGATGAGAGCTTCGATCAATGATGAAACTTCCTTTGTGGTGTTTGTGGTTTCAGTGCTATGCGTTTCCCTCCCAGTGCTGCTGTAGCCGCACCCGCACGTTGGTGTGTTGCATTTTCATTTTTGTCCATTCCAGTGTATTTTCTGATCGCTCTTGGGACTTTCTCTGACCTATAGTTATTTCAAAGAGTTTTGTTTAGTTTCCAGGTGTTTGGAGATTTTCCCATATCTCTTTGTTGCTGATTTCTGTTTTCATTCTATTTTGTGATCGGAGAATACAGTGTGTCTGTCTTTTAAGTTGATTGAGGTTTGTTTAATGGCCCAGGATGTGGTCTGTCTTGTTAGGTGTCCCGTGGACCCTCGGAAGGATGTGATTTCTGCTCTTGTTGGATAGAGCGTTTTATAGATTCCTGTCAGGCAGGTCCTGTTGTTGAGGACGATGACTTGTTCTCCATCCTTGTGACTTTTGTCTCGTCCCGATGTTGAGAGAGGGGTGTTGGCATCTCTGTCCTCAGCTGTGGGCTTGGCTGTCTGTCCTGTTGGTTCCGTCACGTTTTCGCAGCACGTCCGTAGCTCTTCTGTTTGTTGCGTGTGCCTTGGGAATGGCCGTGTGTCTTGGTGGATTGAGCTCTGACCATTATGGAATGGAATGTCCTTCTCTGCCTCTGGTCATTTCTTTTCTCTGAAGTCTACTCTGCCTGCCAGCAACATCACCCATTTTCCTGTAACTAATGTTTGCACGATACATTCTTTCCTGCCCCTTTACCTGTTACCTGACTGTATCGTTGTATTTGAAATGAGTGTCCTTCGGATCGCAGATGGTTGAGTTGTGTTCTTCCATCTCTTGTGCCTTAGTAAGTGGCCAGTTTAGACCATGTACAGTTAGTGTGACATCGAAGTGCTGGAGTTGATGCTGCCGTACCGTTTTTCTGTTCTTCTCTCAGCTTTTTATCTTCTGTGCCTTCCTGTGGCGTGTTCGTATGGTTTATCTGTGGTGTTTTCTCAGTACATCTCTTAGTACGGCTTTTTTGATGGTGGCTTTCTGGTTAAATGAGCAGTTTGAGTGAAGTATAGAAATCTTGCCTCCTACTGTGTCATTCTGTCTCCCACTGTTAATAGTGTCCTGTTTCCTCCGTGTACCAGTACAGCCACATGAGACCGGGTTCTGACGTCTGCTTTAACTGTCCGACGTTTAGAAGATTCTAGAGCAGAAGGAAGATCTTACATTTACCCGTGATTTGGCTCACCATGTTCTTTCTCTTTCCTGTTGGTCCAGGGTTTCTTTATGATTTCTGTTTAGAGCATCCCTTTAAGCCATTCTTTTCAGGTGGGTTGACAGACTTCTCTCTTAGTTTTTCCTTCTTCCAGGAGCTTCTTGATTTAATTTCTAAAGATTACTACTGGATGTAGGCCTCTACGTTGATAGCTTTTTAACTTTGAAAATGTGTTCCCTTCCTTGTGGTTTTCATGGCTTCTGATGAAAAATCCAATATTTTCCCCTTAAAGTGTCACTTTTTTTCTGGCTGCTTTCACGAGTTTTTACTTTTTCTTTGCCTTTCGTTTTCAGAAGTTTAAATACGGTACGCTGGTCTGGTTTCCTTTGGGTCTGTCCTGTTCGTGGTTCCCTCACTGTCTCAGATCTGTAGGTTTATGTCTCTTATCAGCTCTGGGGAGTCGTCAACCATAATTCCGTCAAGTACTTCGCCAGCCCCATCCTCTTTCCTTTTGTGGGATTCTCATGACACAGCGTCGTGTCTTTTGTTATAAAGGGAATAAGATCTGCTTGTGACTCTTTGGTCTGTTTTCTCGCTACTCAGAGTTTGTGACTTCTGTCATCCCATCTTCCTGTTCACGGAGTGTTTTCTCTGTTCCATCTGCTCTGCTACAGAGGCCATTCTTTGAGTTTTTAGTTTAGTTAGGGCATTTTTAGTTCTATCTTTTCTTGAATGTTTCTGTCGGTTCCTGCTGTGTTACTGCTTGTTGAAGCATTTTCATCTTGGCTGCCTTAAAGTCTTTCTCCGAAGACATTACTGTCCGCGTCATCTCAGCGCCACCTGTTGACTGTATTTATTCAGTCAGAGGCCTTTGTGGTGGGTGAGTGACAGAAAACTGGGCATTTTGGATCTTATGAGATCTGGATCTTACTGAAACCCTCCAGTGTAACTGGCTTCTCCCGACACTGCTCTCACAGACGAAGTTGGGAACGTGGGCTTGTCACAGCCGGGTAACAGGCTCCCCAACAGCTCTCCTGACCTAGGGGTGGATGGGGGCCTCCTCCTTACTGCTGGGTGGGGATGGGAGTTCTGACTCCCCACATGGTCTCCAGCCTCCCGCACTTAGGAGGTGCATGGGGGCCTTGTATGGCTTCCCACGTGGCCTTAGGGGACACATCAGGGTTGGGGTGTTCTTGCTGCTGCTGAGTGATGGTGAGAGTTCTCGCTGCGTGCACGGAGTTGGGGGCTGTCACAGCGTGGGCAGAGTGAAAGTCTAGGCTTTCTGTGTGGTCTCTGCTGGGGTGAGCTTTCCAGCTCCCTGCCAGGCCTTGACCGCCACCACCTGGTTAGAGTCTGTCTGGTGAGGGTGGGTCTGGTTAGAGTCTGGGCAGTGAGGCTAGGTCTTGCTGTAGCCAGGGGCTCCCCTCTGTCGAGTCCCTGTCCTGGGTGCCCCTCTCCTCGTCCTTTGGCTACAAAGAACAGCTTTTCCTTTATCAACTGGCTTTTCTGGATTACTGGTTTCTTCAGATCTAAAAATAAACCCAGTGCAAAGTTAAAAAAGCTCAGGGGACACATGTCTATGTCCTCTGCTGCAGCGGCCTGACTGGTGAACCGCCCTCTACCGCCCGGAGGGTCCCGCTCATGTCTGTTCTGCGTGTGGCGTCCAGGCTTCTAGCCGTAGTCGGGGGAGGAGCAGGGAGACACTGAGCATCACCCCCCGGAAGCAACGTCCTTGAGGGCTAGTCCCCAGGGTCGGTGTGAGGATGAGCTTTCCCGAAGGCATTGGAGAGGGGCGTGCCAGGAGCGGAGCGCCGCGGCCTTGGGTGGGACTCATGCCTAGTCTGGCCCGGGGATGCGGAGATCGTCCAGCACTGTCCAGCCTGGCGGTCGCTAGAGCAGCTGGGACGTGTGCGGCTGCACCTGTCCCCTGTGCAGGAACCAACCTGGTGCTCGGGAATGCCTGGGTCTTGGGGCTGTGCAGCTGGGCCTCTGGTGCCTCAGGTTGCGTGTTCTCGACCGGGCTCTGCACACACAGATGTCCTCAAGCCCTCAGCCGCTGTGGAAACTTGACCCACAGAGGGAAGCACATGTTGTCCCAAAGTGAGCAGAGTGCCGTGGGTGATCACAGAGGCCTCACCATAAAGGATGTGTGCAGGGTTCTGTGGGAAAGTGGCGGGAGACCCCAAGGCTATGCTGGACTGTGGCCTGGAGGGGAGCAGAGAGCGGGCTTGCCCCCCATGGGACTGCCCCCGGGCCGTCCCCTGACCCCTGACCACCCGTCCCCGCCCCCTGCAGTGCTCCCGTGGCCTCCGCAGGAGGAGGGAGAGCCAGGGACGCCTGCAGGGTCCCCGCCCCACTGTGCCCTGCTCCTGCCCCTCTGCAGGGCTGAGCTCACCCCTCCCACCCCACCCCTGCCCCTCTCTCTGCCGCAGTTTTTCATCTACTTCGTGTACTTCCTGGTGCTGTTTGGCGTCTACCTCTTGGGGGCCTTGGTGGTGGTCCTGCGGCATTTCCGGGACGGCCGCCGTGCGCCCCAGCCCCCGGCGCTGAGCCCCACGGAGGAGAAGGCCATGCAGCCGCTGGCCACCCAGGAGCAGAGCTTGCAGCCCGAGGCCAAAGCCTGACCTCTGGCCCCAGAGGCCACCGCCAGCATCCTCCACTTCTGGGGGCCTTGGCGTTTCGGGACAGACACCCCGTCCACGTCCCTGCCCCTCGGTGTCAGCGATCCAGGTGTCCGGCCTCAGTTACATTCCAAGGTTCAGACTGTGGAACCGGTGACCAGCGGGGACCCTCCACAGCACCTCCCTGTGCCCTGTGCCTGGGGGCTACCTGCCTCAGGAGGGGCTGTGGCTTGTCTTGCCGGGGCCCGAGGTGGTGCCCTCTGCCCTGCTTGGCACTCTGGTCCTGTCCCCTCGGCTGCTGGGACACTCAGGCAGCTGCTGGGACGCTGGGGGCTGGGCTGTCCCCACCCACATGTGGTGGGCAGTGGGGTTCACGTGCCTCCTCATCGTCACCCCCCAACCTGGGAGGCGGGCTCTGCTTGTCCCTGGGGACCCTTGACTGGGTTGGGGACTCGGCCCGCAGCATGAGGCTGGGAGCCGGACGTCCGGGCCCCGTTTTCCAGGTACCTGCCTTAGTGCTCTTCCTTTTTTAAAAAAAATTAACCTGAACGAGAAACCTTGGTGGGCTCTTGTGTCCTGTGGGGGAAGCTGGACATTGGCCAGCAGGCCCCTGTCAGGTGGACGTGGGGTCGCTGCCCCCAGACCCCACTTCTCCCCAGGCCTCCAGTGGCCTGCCCGTCCCCAAAGTGGGTTAAAACTGACCTACCTCAGCAGTGGCTGCAGGCAGTGTGGGGCTGCTCGCCTGCCAGCCGAGACGGGACCCGCCCAGAGGGCGCCCCTTAGGGTCTCTCAGCGCGTTGTGTCCCTTCCAAGATGCAAGACTGTCTTCTCTCCCTGAAGGGGATTAGACCACAAGCCCCAAATGTGGGGGGTGCTCCTGATTCTCTCCTAGCCTAGCGGGGATGGGGGTGGAAGGAGGTGGTCAGGAGGCCAAGGAGGGGCCCCCGGCCCGTCCCCTACCCCAGGCCAATAGGTCCCCCAGCTGAGCGCAGCCCTTCCCACAGCTCATGGGGTCTGGCCCAGCACACGGGGTCTGGCCCCATGCATGGGGTCGGGCATCCATGCATACTTGCCCCATGAACCCTGTGGGGCGGGGGCAGAGGACTCGGAGGAAGGGGCTGTGTCTCACCTCTGGTCACTGAGCACGTGACGCAGGGCTCTGGCCCGGGGACTCCCGGCCCAGAGAACCCTCCCATCAGTGGCCCCCCAGTGGCCTGGACTCTCAGCTGGTCCCACGTGCTAGGGGGCGAACACGTGTGTGGGGCGCAGACCAGCTCCACAGCCTTGGAGGCAGAGCCCGTGACCACACGACCACGGTGACCGGACCCGCTGCTGTGGCCCACAGGCTGCAGAGCTGAGCAGCTGGGTCCTCGCCCGCCGCGCGGCCTGCCCAGCCGCCAGTGGAGGAGGGACCCGTGCCGTCCCCTGCGACGCTCAGGTGCACCTCCCAATGTCCCCTTTGCTGCGGCCCCTCTCGCACGGGGCTCAGCGAGGCAGGTCCCGTGGAGCCATGTCCTGGCTGGACGCAGGCGTGGCTGTCCTATTTGCCTCCAGACTTTTTAAGATTGTATTTGTTTTGAGAGAGAGCACAAGCGGGGTTGGTGGTGTGAACAGAGGAGCAGCGCAGACGCCCCGCGGAGCAGAGAGCCGGACATGATGCAGGGCTCGGTCCCAGGACCCCGAGATCATGACCTGAGCTGAAGGCAGATGATTGTTGAACTCAGCGTCCCTGTTGAACTCCGCGTCCTGCAGAGACGAACCTGGGACCCTGGCCCTGAGCCAGCAGGCCGGGTTCCTGCTGCAGACAAGGGGACGGGGAGTGGGTGTGGGCCTGGCTGGGCTCCAGGAGGTGAGGCCAGGCCAACTTCTGCTTTGGGGAGCTTTGTCCCGGGAGAGGAGCACTGGGCATGGGGTGGCCCCCGGATGGGACGCTACTGTCCCTGCGTTGTGGGCCCCCTCAAAACTCAGCATGGGGGCATCTGGCTGGCTCAGTCATTAGAGCTGATCCCAGGGTCATGAGTTTCGGCCCCACCTTGGGGGCGGAGATGGCTTAAAAGAAACTTCCTGAAGGTGCTGGCTGGGCTGAGCTCTACACTGCGTGTGATCTCATGGGTCTTGTGGGCAACCGGGGTGGCACGGAGAGCTGACTGGGATTGGGATAACGGCCCGAGCCTGGGGGCCCTAGGGAGCCTGGGGTCAGCAGCGGGGGGAGGTGCTGATCTTGGGAAACTGCCCTGGCCTGGGGGTGGCCGGGGCGAGGTGGCCCCACCCTGTGCCCATGGCCTGAGCCACCCGGGCAGCTCACAGCTGGGGAAGGAGGGCCTGTTACAGCGCTGCAGCCCCTGGGGTGGCCCAGAGAGGGAGGGAGGCCACCAGGAGCCAAGTCAGCACCTGCGGGGGCCACGGAGGGCCTCAGGGGCATGCACCCTCGTAGTGAGTTCCCTTGCTGGGGACAGGGTCTACCCCCAGTCTGACTGGGCCGAGATGGCGGGGACAGGGCCCTGCGTGAGGATGGGGGGGGGGGCGCGAGAGAGTCCTGGCACCACGCTTCGTTTTAAACTTTTTAAAAAATACACTCTTTGGCTTCCTTTTATTTCTTGAGGGTTACATTACACGTGAGCCATACAAGAAAGTGTCCCAGCCGGGTCCCCACCCTGGGGGGGGAGGGGTGCTCCTGCCTGGTGCTTCTGTCTCCTGGCCTCCCAGTGGGCCGTCAGGCCGCCCGTCCGGCCCATCCGTCCGTCCCGTCCGTCCGAGCCGGCGGAGCCCCTACTTGGAGGAGGAGGTCATGAAGCTGTTCTCGATGCAGAGCACGATGAAGGCATGGTGGCAGCTCACGGCCTTCTGCTCCAGCAGCCGGCCGGCCAGCAGGGAGGACGCCTGGCCCATGACGCCCGCAGTCTCTGTCCGCCACGTCTCACAGTAGCTGTCGGTCAGCCGGCGCCCGCTGGGGTCCGAGCCGTGCCACACGCTCTTCTGGGGCCTGCGAGACGCCGCAGCCGTCAGCCCCAGACCAGGGCCGGGCTACTCAGGGCAAAGCGGGTGCTTCCCAAAGGCGCCTCATGTTGGCTGGATGAGGGGCCCGTGGGGGGGCACAGAGCTGGCCGTCCTTGGTCCCTGGGGGTCCACCTCCCAGACCACACCCCTGCCGCCTCTGCTGGGGGGCGCAGCCCGGGGAGCCTACCAGGCCGGGTGCTGCAGGACGTCTCTGCCGTCGAAAGAGAAGATGCGGGCCCCAGGCTTCAGCTGGCCCTCGGAGCCTGAGAACAAGGCCTCCCAGCTGGGGAACAGCTCCTCGTCCTGGGAGGGAAGCGCACTGGGCCTTATTCCCTCCCTGGAGATGTCCTGCCAGAGGCCGGCCGCCTCGCACCGCCCCTTCCCCAGCCCGGACCCCATCTGGCCCTGAGGAACACACAGTGGTGGACGGAGGCCGAGGCGTGGGGGCCGTTGAGCCCCCCAGAAGCATTTCCAAGCCTGAGCTCCGAGGAGGCTGCACGCGCGGGCCTGGCTCTGCAGCTCAGGGGGGTCCGGCCCTGTGGGAGGCTCTGGGGGGCCTCCAGGGCAGCCGCACTCACCCTGAGGTTGACGATGGGCACGCCGGTGCGGTCGGCTCGGCGCACCACGCTGTAGAGGTCCTGCAGCCTCGAGGACAGGAAGGCGCGGAAGGTGCCAGGCAGCCTGGCAGCGCGCGCCTGCTGGAAGCACTGGAAGTCGGCCCCTCGGATGCCACGCAGGCCACCCGGCTGGGGACTGTTCAGGGCCACCAGGTGCAGCTGCAGGGGCAGAGCCGCGGGGTCAGCCGCCAGCCATTTCCCAGGGGCTGAGCGTGCCCCGTGCTGGGGTTCCCAGGGTCCAGAGCGGCCACCGCCAGCTGCCACCCCTGCCCAGCGCTCTGGCAAGTCTCTGTCCTTTCCTCCACCAGAGACAGCCAGAGGGCAGGTCCCAGGCCTAGAGAACCCTCCCGGCAGCCCCGGGAGTCCCTGTGGGCCGAGGGCTGGCATCCACACGGGGTCGCTCACCACCGGCTGGTAGTCCTGGTGGGTGTGGCTGTGGGTGGGCCCGCCGGTGGGGCGAGCCGGCTGGAAGTGCCGGTAGGAGCCATGGTGTGGGGCCCCAGGGTAGGGCTGGGGGTCCGGCAGACGCGGGGGGCTGGCCAGGATGTCATCTGCCCGCCAGGGCCGCACCGTGGAGTGGGTGAGCTCCCGCCGGGGGTATGGGTTGCCCGCAGGGGGCTGCAAGGCGGCCACCTCGTCCTGCAGACAGAGAGGCGGTGGCAAGGGCCTGGTGCTCCTGCCTGGACGGGCTGAGTGCCAGCTGCCTGTCTGGGACCCGCTTCCTCTGCACCCTGGCACGTGGGGAGCTGCACGGTGGACCCGCTGGCCCTGGGCTGCCCTGGAGAGTTAGGGCGGGAGTCCGGCAAGCCTGATGCCGGCAGTGGTACCTGGGCCTGTGCTCAAGGTCAGGACCACACACATCCCTGGCCTTCCAGCCCGTCCTCACCCCTGCACAGACACCCCAGCTCTCTGCCTCCAACCCTGCTCCACCCCACCTCAGAGAGGCGACCCGCACCCCATCCAATCCCCAGCAGCACCGGAGGCCTCCTGACGCACCTCAGTCTGCCTTGGCCTGTACCCCAGTGCCCTATTACCGGGTACCCGCGCTAATGATCTAGAATCACGTAAATCGCCCGTTCCCCGCCGTCTCCACCACCTGTCCCCCTGCCCGTGAGCTCCACAGGGCCCGGGCCTGCGTGTCCCTGTCTGAAACAGTGCCTGGCATACGGGAGGACCCAGGACCAGGCTGAATGAATGAATGGATGCGGGATGCTGGGCTCTGAGCGGACAGACCGGCGGAACCTGGGACACACACCCCCTAAGGCAGCCTCGGCCCCGGGCCGTTGGAGAAGAGCCACAGCGGCAGGAAACCCAAATATCTCGGACCCCCAGGGGTCCGTCTCTGAGCCCGGCACCCCCGGAGGGTGGTGAGCGTGGCCCGAAGGGAGGCAGCCTCGTGGTCTGTGCACCCCTCCCACACCTCGCACCCCGGAGCCGCCGCCGTTGGCTGTGGAGAGGAGACGGCTCCTTACCATCCCACGTGGGAGTGGCGTCCGTGCCTCCAGCTGGAAGAAAATGCAGGGGTTACCCCACCGCCCCCAATGCCTGGCGCCCCGCCCTCCCCGGCAGTGCCAGGCACACACCACCTTCCCTGCATTTACTTTTGAAAGTGGGAGAGGGGGCGCCCAGGGAGCTCCATCAGGGAAGCGTCTGCCTTGGCTGGGGTCATGATCCCGGGGTCCTGGGATCGAGCCCCACGCCGGGCTCCCTGCTCAGCACGGGGCCTGCTTCTCCCTTCCCCGCCCCACCCCCGCTCATGCTCATTCTCTCAAATAAAAAAAAATCTTAAAAAAAAAAAACAAAAAGGGAGGGTCACTTCTCCGTGAACCCTAAACTCCAAAAAACAGTCCACTCGTTAAAAGAGTAAAGAAACATCGAGAAGAGTGCCGTCTGTCACTCACCCCGTGAGGCGTCCGCAGCTCAGGCCCGCCCCTCACGCGTGCTCCCCCGAACCCTACCGCACCGCAGGCGGGCCGGGGACACGCTCTGCCCGCTCCTGCGTGCGGGGAACTCACCAGGACCTTCCGCAGCCCGCCACGGACCCGGACGTACAGCTCCTCCCTCTCGGCCACGAAGATGAGCCAGCCCTCCGGCACCTCAGGCACCTTGTCCAGCATGGTCTGGTACGTGGCCCAGATCCTCACCTGCTGGGAGCCCGACCTGGTGGGTCCCCATCCCACGCAGGCAGCGTCCGCGCTCATGGGGGTGGGGCCATCCTGCAGGCTCGCGTGCGTCCCTTTCTCCACGAGGCTGGTCCCTGAGAAGGCTCTGTGGGCCGGGGAGGCCCCCCCGCGGGGAGCTGGACGCAGAGTCCCCACGTTCCCCACGAGCTCTGGGGGCTTCTTACCGGCTGGTCCCCCGAGTCCCCTGCTGCCCCTAGGCTCCCGCTTCCGCTTCGGAAACCACGTCTCGAGGCTGCGGTGCCTTTGCCATAGGGGCAAAGCTGGGCCCAGCACTGGGGGTCTCTGAAAGCCCACCCACAGTCGTCAAAGGGAAGGGTGGCCGGCCAGGCCGGGGCAGGGAGCATCTGACCAGACACTGGGAGGACTCTTACCCCGGAGGACGTGCCCATGGTTCCAGGGGGCCCAGGGGGCCCAGGTGGGCCTGGGGGGCCAGGAACACTGATGGCTGTAGGAGAGAAACCTATGGAGATGGTGGCCCTGGCTGGACCGGTAGGAGCCCAGGCCCCCATCCCCTGCCAGACTTACTTTGCCGGTAAGGGCCAGGAAAGGAAGGGGGCCCTGGGGGACCCGGGGGTCCAGGGGGCCCAGGGGGTCCCTGACGCCCCTCATGGCCGATGCCAGGGGGTCCCTGAGGTCCAGGTGGGCCAGGCTGGCCCCGAATGCTCTCTCCCTTGGGACCCTAGTTGGGGGGGTGGTCAACAAAACAGGAGACAAGGAAAGCCTGAGGAGTGAGGCTGCATCTTCCAAGTGGTCCTGCAGGAGCAGCTCGGAGCACCCCTGCCTCCCTCCCCGCCTTCTCCTTCCCCATACCACAGGGCCTGGGAAACCTGGCTTCCCACACCACGCGTCCTTTGCTGGGATGGGATCTCAGAACACAGACGGAGAGGCAGCCCCGCTGACAGCCCTCCTTCCCCATCCATCCCCCAGGCGGAAGCTGTGGTCTGGGCTCCCTGGAGTCTTTTAGGGCAGATGGTCCCATAGGAAAGATCAGTGCCAGCGAGAGAGCAGGCGTGAAGGTCTGGGTGAGGGTCCCTTGTGCCCCTGCCCCCCCCCGCTGGCTGGAGGTGTGCCCAGGCCACCCGCCCCCCACCCTGAGAGTGGGGATGAGAACTGGAGAGGAGAGCTGGCAGGCACAGCCTGTGGGCCTCGCAGGCGTCCATGGCCGAGCGCCACCTGCCGCAGCTCGGGCCCGGGACCCTGGGGCCCTGAACCCTGGCACAGACCCGGGGAGCCCAGACTTACCGGAATCCCAGGGTAGCCTGGTGGGCCGGGGGGTCCAGGCACACTTGAGCTGAAGAATCCACCACCCCCGGGCTCACCCCGTTCGCCCTTCGGCCCAGGGTCCCCTCGGTCCCCCTTCTCCCCCTGTGGATGGAAACGCTGGTCTGAGACGGCCGGGCTGCCACCACCGGCGTAACCCCAAGAGGCCGGCGTGAGCGAGGTGAGGCGGGGGAAGCTCCCGGAGCCCAGGTCTGATGGACGGGCCTCAGCTCCCCACTTCCCTGCACTGCCCGAACCCTGCGGAGCGCGAGGCGGGTGGGGCGGGTGTCACCCACCTTCATTTCAGCCTCCAGCGGGAGCAGGTCCAACGGGAACTGCCCTGCAGGAGAGAAGCGGGGAGGGGGCCTCGGTGAGCCCCTTGGCAGCGCCCCGCCCCCACCTACGTCTTCCTTCCTCGCCTTCTGGAATTTCTGTTTCTGGGGGGATTCCTGGCGGCTTGGCCTGGTGCCCGGAACCCCTGCCCAGAAGCCCCCTGTGGGAGCCACTGTCCTGACCCCGTTCTCCAAATGACACGTCTTTAGAATTTCTCTTTGTTTACACGGGGTCGTTGATTTTCGTAAAGTCTCCTGACGGAGGTAAATTGACGAACTCTAAGGCTTTATCTGCACGTCCTTTCAGGTGGTCGATGTTCAAACAGGGTTTTCTGTAAAAATGGCAGTTTTATTCCTTCCTTTCCAAAAACACCCAGCAGGGATTCTGCTCCCCTGATTCCTGCCGTGCTGGGGCCCCGGTGGCGGCCAGGGTCAGAGGGTCAGAGCCCTGGGCGCCCCCCAGGAGGGCGGCCCTGCAGGCGCCCCCCCGCCCTCGGCCCTTCCGCGCTCCGTCCGGCAGGGGGCGCGCCAGCACTGGGGTCTTCTCCGTGGCTGGCGCACACCACGGTCCGCGCCACGGCCGGTCGGTGACGAGAACGTTCACGTCTCAGCTCTTCCCCAAGGTCACTTTGCTCTCGTCCTCTGACTTCTAGAGCCAGGGCTGAGACACGGGCGCTGCGTGGGGCTGTGACGTCCCGAGCCGTTGAAACACAGCAGCTGGGTGAACCCTGGGGGCTGGGGCTGGGGGGGGCCCACCTGGTGGGAGCCCCTCTGGGGTCCTGCTGCCCCGGGGCCCACGGTGGCCGCAGACGAGGGCAGGGAGCCCCTCACCACCTTCCATTTCAGTGTGTCTGCGCCCGTGTGCTTCCTGTGCGTCTGGAACGTGCAGCCCCATGTGGACTTCCTGCTCGCTCATGCCCCGCGTGGGCCCGTGGGGTGCGGACCGGGCCCCAGAGGACCCCGTGGTCGCCGGGCGGTGACCTGCCGCCAGCCGCTCCACCTCCCGCTCGAGCTGCTCTTCCGTGCACGGGAGCCCCACACCCCTCGCGACGACTGCTGTCCGCCCAGGCCTGCTCTAGACCTCGCGAGGGCATGTTGCTGGGCACAGAAATCCGGGATTGCTGTTTTCCTGGTGGGCGTCCCCCTTTATCAACGTGAACAGTTTCTTAGGATTTCTGGCAACATTTCCTGACTCAAGATAGACCCGTGTGACCTCTTTCTCACACACATACACACAATGCGTTTGTACACACGTGTGCGCTAGTGCACGCACACCAATGCACTCATGTGGGCGCACGCACGCGCACACAGGTAGACGCGGGTGCACACTCACACACGGGCACACAGAGGCACACAGGGGCCTGCTCTGCCTCCCCCAGCTCCCTTCCCCGCAGGGGCCTCCCGCCCTCCCGCGGTCAGCAGGTGTGTCCTCGCTGCTGAGCGTCTCGGCCGAGCGTCGCGCGGTTTTGTTCGCATCCGGCTGACGGGTTTGTCCTGTAAGCGCCGTAGCCGCCGTCCTCACGTTTGATGCACCGAATGCTTCCACGTTCCACCCACTCCTCCTGCCGCTTTCCACGAGTCCGTCGGCTCGGTTCCTTCTCCCTCCTCTCCGACCTTCTCCCGGGTGCGGGTGTCCCCGGGGCGGGCCTCCCGCGTGTCAGCTTCGGCGACGCGCTCCTGCTCCGTTCTCCGCTCGGCCCTGAGCCGGCAAGGTGCGGCCCCACTTGAGTCTGGCGTGGCCGAGGGCCACCTGCTCCCGGCGGCGTCTCTTCCCTCAGCGACGTGTACCGCCAGCGTCACCTCCATCTCCCAGAAGGCCCCACGGTCCCGCCAGGGCTGGTCCTGGGACAGCCTCGTGGCTGCTGCTTTTTGACCCCGAGGAGCGTCTCGTGGTTTCGCACCTTTCCACCTCCTGGAGCCTCTTTGGCGTCTCTCTTCTCACCAGGAGTCCGGTCCTGACGGTTGTGTGAAGGACTCGAGTCTCTCCGCAGTCTCGGAAAACCCTTGGTTGCCTTCACATCCTCTCCTGCCGGTGCCCCCCCAGCCCTGCGCCCCGGCTCGGCGCACACCTCCCCTCCCCTCACTCCCTCGCCCGCCCCACGAAGAGTCCTCGGGTCCGGCTCTCCCTTCCAGAATGGAACAGACGCTTCCCACGGGTCCCTCGCCTCCCCCTGCTGGAGCACCCTCTGGCCTGGGTCTGGGCACAGCTGGGCCTCCGGGGCTGCCTCGCCCGCCGCGTCCCTCCCTCTTGCCTCCTGGTCTATTCTGGCCATTTTGTTTTCCTGCTCAGCCTCATTAGGCCCCAGTCTCCGCAGCTCCAGGAGCCCTTGGAGGAAACCCGGGGTTTCCCCTCCGACCTGCCCTCACTCTGGGCGGCAGCCCCCTCCACGGAGGTCCTGGCGGGCCACCCTGTAGTCGGCACTGCCTGGGGCTGGGGACCCCGGCACTCTGGCTTCCAGTCTGCCGGCTCCCCGACGTTCACGCTGCTGTTTTTGTGTTTCGTTCAGCAGGGGAAGAACTTGGCAGAGGGTTCTCCGCGCCCCCAACCCCAGAACAGTCCGGCCGATGAGGGCTCCCACACACCATCCCGGGACCCCAACACACTGGGCCCAGCTCCATCCCTCAGCCCTGCTGCCAGGCCACCCCGGTGCCCCACACCCAGACCCAGCGCCACAGGTCCTGTCCGGCCCCGAGAGCCTGGGAGGGGCTTCTTCCAGCAGGCGGGCAGCTGGGTCAGCACAGGTGCAGCAGTGTCGGGGAACCTCCCGAGCCCAAGGCCGCCCAGAGCACCCTCACCTGGTGGTCCTGGAGGGCCCACATCTCCTTTGTCACCCTTGGGTCCAGAAGGCCCCTGGAGCCCTGGAAGGACAGAGGTGCCCGCACCCGTCATGGCGTGTGTGACGAAGCCCTCCAGCCCACCACACCGGGCCCCGCACCCCGGGGCAGCTGCGTCACACGGATCTGGGACACCTCGGGGCAAGAGCAACCCCCGAGGCTGCCCCCGGGGACCCTGCCCTTCCTACGGACGTGTGCCCCCTGACAGCAGGCAGGGCCGGGAGCCAGTGCAGGCCGTGCTGTGTCCGCTGCTGACGTGCCTGGGAGGCCCCGAGAGGCCGTGCTGGGCGGCTGTGACTGATCTGGATTAGACGCCCAGATTTCCTGCTGCCCCAGGAACAAAGTGTCCCCGGACACTCAGCGTCCTGCAAGGGGCCACCGCCCACCCTCCCCAAGGCCCCGGGCATCCTCACCTGGCAATCCTGGGGCTCCAGGGCGGCCGGACTCCGTAAAGGCCTGCAGAGAAGCTGCCAGTGAGGGAGGGAGTCTACGAGCAGAGCCGGCCCCCACGCAGGCCCCCTGAACCCAGAGGCCCCGCCCCTCCGCAAGGCCACACGGACACCCCCAGCAGGCAGCGAGGAGAAAGGAGAGAAAACCGGGCTTTGGGGTCGGAAGCTCTGCTCGTGATGGGATCTGGCCCTGCGGGTCACTTCATGTGGCTGAACCTCATAAAACAGCGTGTGTGTCCCTCCAGGACCCCAGGGCTGGAGCCTCAGGCTCCCAGATCCAGAGAACCCCCCCGCCCTTCCCCAGCCCTCATGCCCCAGGGAGGGTCTGCCAGGCAGGTGGGCCTGGGTCCCAACCAGCCAACCCCTCTGCCAGAAATTGTTAGCCCCCTCCATGGGGGTCAGCCCCCCAGAGTTCAGCCCCTCCCTCGGGGTCGAACCACACCACCCTGGGGGTGGGCCTAGGTTGGGCCTGTGAGGAGGAGGGAGAGGAGAGAACTCGGTAAGTGGGGGAACTCACGTTGCTGTCATAAATGGGAACCCCAGGAGGCCCTGGGGGCCCCGGAGGCCCGGGGGGACCGGGTGGACCCTGCGCGGGGAAAAGAGCTCTGTCAGTCACGTTCCAGCCAGGCCCGGGAGGGGACCAGAGGGGCAGATGTGGGCGGGAGCATTTCTAGAAGGCTCAGTGGTATCAGAAAACTGAGTGTGGAAAGCACAGAATCAGGAAGCGTCCCATCTGCTCCGTGGCTGTGGGGGGTCCCTGGGCACAGAGCCGCCCCTCTCAGAACACCCCTTGGGATACGTGGAGAGGGCAACAGGACTGGACGGGGGGTGTGCACCCCAAGGCGGAGTCCGTGTGTTTCCAGGCTCAAGGAGCAGCCCCAGAGGCCCGCGCCGGAGGCCGAGCTTGGGTGGAACTTTCGCTACTCGTGCACGTAGAGGGAGCCCGGTGCCGTCCCGCAGCCCAAGACAAGGGCTTCTTCGGAAAGTGGCCAGTGTCCTGGACCATGTGCGTCAGACCAGGGACGGGTGAGGTGGTGCGCCATCCCCGCCTGCCTGTGGTCACCCCAGTGCCCCCGCCCGTGCCCCTGCCTCGGGGCCGGACTTCCAGGAACAGCTTCACCTAGGGCGTCAGGCAGCTGGCTGCGCGCCTGGCCATGGGGTCGTGAGTGGGTCCTGCATCTGCAGCAGAGATGATTACAAATGCCTGAACTACCAAAGAAAACCCTCGCTCGGAAGCCAGCAGAGGTGCTGAGGGTCACACCGTGGTGTGGGGCGAAGGGAAGCCACTACGGGTGGTTGCGCGTTTGGAAGCAGCCGTGCCCTCTGAGAGCCACGTGGGGTCTCTGCCTGGCAGTGTGGGTGGGTGGGTGCATGCGTGTGGGGACCTTGTGTCAGCGGTGGGGACCTGGTGCCAGCGGGGTCACGGTGCAGGGAACCCCCCGAGGCCCTCAGTGTTCCAGACACGCCGTCCCTTGGGGGACACTCACCCTCACACCGAAGCCGACGCTGGCGTGTCCTGGCTCCCCCTTCTCCCCCTTCAATCCGTTCATCCCGGGGCGACCCTGCGGCAGAGCACGGGGTAGGGGGCTGCAGGCGTTGCCTCCCACCCGGCCTCGCCTGCTCTCGGTTCCCACCCAGGATCTCCCCGGGAGCCGGATGCTCTGCCCCAGCCACCCATGAGCTGGGCATCGCCGGTGTTTGTCCTGGAGACAGCTGTCCTCATGCGGGGACGGTCCCCGGGGCAGGGCATTGGGAGGGCCCGGGGTCCTCTCCCCTCTCCCGTGCTGCTCACATGCAGCATGAAATCCCAGGTCCTTACCGGCCGCCCAGGGAAGCCAATCTCTCCCTTGTGCCCCGGCCGTCCGTAGGGACCCTGCAGAAAGGAGCAGCCACCTTCCAGATGAGCAGAGACCAGCCCCGGCTGTGCCTCCCGCCCGCCACTTGCCCCCACGTTTGACAGGTGTAGCTGGTCTGCTCGGGCCGCTCAGCAACCGGGCTGTGACCGGCGCCTTCGGGACCTGCATGTTCTCGGACATGCGTGTTCGCTGTTGGGGGGGGTGCTACTCACCGGGGGTCCTCGGAAGCCGGGCTCTCCCTGAACGGAAAACCAGAGGCACCGTCAGACGGCAGCAGGTCGCCCCCACCCGGGAGCACCCTCGGGGCTGTGACAACACCAGGGAGGGGAGGATACGGCAGAGGCAGCACGCTCTGGGCATGGACGAGGCCCACCTGGGGGCAGCCCCGACCTCGGGGCTGGCAGAGTTCTCTGGGCCTGGAGATCCAAGGTCCCACAGCCAGGGGGCATTTGGGGTCCCTGTAGGACTGCCCCCCACGGCCACCAAATCCAGATCCAGCCATCCCCCGAGACCCTCAGAGCCTGTCTGGGGATGGGGGACCTGGGGCACAGCCCCCTCAACCCACTCTGAGCCTCTTGAGGGAGGAGGGCTGGGACCCCACAGCAGCGGCAGCCCCTGAGGGACGGCCGCAGCCTCAGGGCTGGGCATCTCCCACAGGCAAGGCCTGGACTGGACACTCACCCCCTCCCCGCCCCGCCGAGAGTCCCCAGCACGTCTGCAGGGTAGGCTCAGCCAACAGGCAGGGGAGAATCAGGGGCCGGCCAGTGGTGGCCAGGCTGGGCATGCCAGGCTCCGCAGGACCTCGAGGTCCTTCCCAGTGTGGCTGTGACCGAGGGACAGACAGGAAAGGGCCGGGGCCCAGGCTATGGAAGTTCCTGGAACCCTGCTCAGGAGCAGCTCTCATGTGGAGGCAGGAACTGGCCCCTCTCGGGCCCTTCCATAGCCCCTGGCAACGCCTGTCCCCGGACTAGTTGAAGGTGGGTGGTCTCAGGGACCCAACTCACCTTGGCCCCTTTCTGGCCTGGTGCCAGCATGCTGCCATCGGGGCTGAAGACCGGGCCGGGCTCGCCCTTCTCACCCTGGAACAGCGGGGGGACAGGCATGAGGCTGGCTCTGGAGAAGGGGGTGGTCCTTGACCCCCGGGCCCCAGAGTGTGGTGAGTGGGGGCCTCCCCTCCCTGGGCTCTGGGGTGGGGGAGCCTCCATGGGCCATGTGAGGTCAGAATTGGTCACATGCTCCTGGCCACAGGTCATGTGTCCACCCCTCCAGGGTCATGGCGCGGGCGGTCCCTGGGCAGCTGGTGCCCGGGCCTCTCACCTTGGGTCCCGGGAGGCCCTGCTGGCCTTTTGAGCCCAGATCTCCCTTTGGCCCAGCCGGTCCCTGTGGGGAGACAGACAGGAATGAGGGCCACGTGCGGAGCCTGTCCCACCACGGCTGCCTCCTGGTCCGGACCCAAGTCAGGCGGACGAGGGCCCTCGACACCTTGCCCGAGAAACCCACCCCAAGCCTCCACCCTGGTCCTGGGGGGCTTCTGCCCAGGACCCAGAGGGTTCCTCAGCTTTGCGGGCACCCTCCACCACTGGGCTTGCCAGGGGTCCCCAGCTGGTGCAGGACAGAGAGAGAGGCCACTTACGGGAAAGCCAGCGAACCCCGGCCGGCCCTGCGGGAGAGAGGGACACGTCAGCGCAGGGGGCGGAATGCGAGGCGGGTCAGCACTGGTCAGGGGATGGGTCGGCGCGGCGAGGGGGGTGTGGGGGTGGGAGATGAGGGGTGCAGAGGGGTGCAGGGTGGCACACGGACACGGGCTGCGGTTCCCACCAGGACAGCACACGTACCTCGGGTCCAGGCACGCCGGCCAGCGCTCTCTGTCCGCACACCAGAGAAACACGGATCCCAGGAAGGAAGGAAGAGACATGTTTATGACAAAAGTCCACTCCTCGTACGGGACCCCCAGAACCGCACCGCGACGCTGTACAAGAAAACTGCCTCCGATCTTCCTCCAGGCGTTGGCCTCAAGGCCCCTCAGATCAGAGGGGAAGCCACCTGCTGGGAGCCTGCCCCGCACCAGAGAACCTTCCGGAGACCCTGGGACCCGGGGCCAGTCCCCCGCCTCCGTACGGGGCCTGGGGCTGGAGTGGAGCCGCCAGTGTCGGCAGCGTGCGGGCGCGGGACCAGGGACCCCGACGGGGAGGCCCTGCAAGGCCTGGTGGGAGAGGCCTTGTCCCGTCTCGATTTTCCGCTATAGAACTTTGTTTCTCTCTGGACACACAGCCCCGTATTTTTCTCCTCTTAGATAATGTAGAAGTATCACCGGAATGAGACACAGTCACGAGTTCTGAATAGAACCGACAGACCGTAAACCCTGGCGTCTTTGGGGGTCGCCCTGGGTGGGGAGAGCCGATAGGTCCTCCCACGGGGTCCGGGTTGGGGCTGCACCGGCTATAGCCAGGGCTGGGGAGGGCAGAGCAGCGGCCCCCCCAGGCCTCAGAAAGGTCTCTCGGAAAGCGGCTTCAGCGTCCTTACATCCTGCTCCGACATGTAGACGACAGGCCCTGGGGGTCCGGGGGGTCCGGGGAGGCCGGGCTGTCCCACTCCATCCCTCCCTGGGTCGCCCTGGAAGAGAAAGCTTGTGTCCAGCACTTAGATTGCTTGCGGGGATCTCTGGACAGGACCCGCACGCCCATCAGGTGTGAGGAGGTGCCTGGGGCTGGGGCCCTGAGAGCACCCCATCCCAGCAGGGCAGGTTCCAAGCCAGAACCCCAGACTTGAGAGGCTTGCCCCAAGTCTCTGAGGCCACGCAGGTGGCAGGGGGCAGGGACAGCCCCAAGGCCTGGACATGCACCTGCTCTGCCCGGGGACCCTGAGCCCCAACTCACTTTCTCTCCCTGGGTCCCTTTTTCTCCTTTGGGTCCCTGCAGAGATGAAAAGGAAACGGGTCAGAACCTCCCCGGAGACCCCAGAGCCCCAGCACGGGCTCTGAGTGAAGATGTAGAGAGTTCTTCCTTCCTGGGGAAGGGGGTGAGCCAGGCCAGCCCACGGCCCATGGAGCCAGGGTCTGTGACCCTCGGGGTACAGAGAAGTGGTCAGGAACCCCCAGAGACCATACCGAGGCTCTGGCTTTATCGGAGTAGCTGCTGCGGGGCGGTCTCCCCCATCGCTGTCCTGGGAAGCCACTCACCTGGGGGATGATCCCCCCATCGTAGTCCTGGGAAGCCACTCACCTGGGCTCCAGCTGTGCCCTCTCTGCCAGGGAGGCCGGGGAACCCAGGAGGTCCATCAGCCCCGACTTCTCCCTGTATCCAACACAGGGAGAGACGAATGTCAACCCACCCCCCAGTGAACCCTGGGGTCAGGGGGCTGAGAAAGCCAGGGCTTCTGCAGGTCACCAGCTCACACCCCCGAGGGCGATTCAGCCCAGTGGACCTCCAGCGTCCTCCTTAGGAGCCCCAAGGGGCAGAGAAGGGGAGGGGACCAGGGTTGGACAGAGTCGTGTGGTTCCCAAGAGTCACACCTTAGAGCTGGGAGGAAGCCTGTCCTGGGGTGGGGGTGTGTCCTGGCATGTCAGGGGTTAGGTGTCCTGGGGTAGGGATGTCCTGGGGTGTCAGGGGGCAGGTGTCCTGGACGGGGGTGTTCTGGGGGGGTCAGAATCCTGGGGTGCTCTGGGAGTTGCCCTGAAGGTGGGTGCCCTTGGGACAGTCCTGGACTCTAAGGAAGGAAGGTTGAGGCCAGACAACACAAGGAAGGACCAGAGGAAGAATGACCCTGGGTCTGGCCTTGAAGGTCACTCCATGCAAACCTCATCCTTAGTCCCTTGGCTCCAAGGGGACAGGGTGATGGGGCGATGGGGCCCCTCCCCGCTCCCACTGGGGCTGGTAAAGATCCCTGACTTCCTGAACCCGAAAAAAGGCTCTTCCTTACCTTGGCACCCGGCGGTCCGGTTACCCCGGGATCCCCCTAGAGTGGGAGAAGGGGCCCGTGAGTGTGGAGCACGGCAGCCCACCGCCATGGCAGCGTCGACTCTCTCCCTCCTCCAGGAGGGAGGGAGGGCTAATGATGCGGGTGGCCTCTCACGGACCCCTCCCTGCCCCATGCAGGGCGGAGGGGCCCGGTGGCCTCGGGGAGCTGTGCAGGCACTGTGAGCTAACGCACGTGGCCTAGTCTATTCCAGAAGCTGGGCCGTCCGCTTGCTCTAAGGAGCGGCTCCATTTTTAAGAAAGCGAGAAACTGTCTTTCTAAAACGCAACCTTCTGAGACATCCCAAACTTTGGCAAATCAAAGCAAAACCTTCTAAAACAACATCCATCAGAGGAACATTCCAGAACATCCTAGACTGGACCCCCGTATGCCCTCAAACCCATGTGTCTGGGGGGGCATGGCATACCCGTGGGGGGCCCTCCTAGGGATCCCTCCCCACCGGCCCCCCATGGGGAAGGGTGGGGACTGGTGGGGAGCAGAGAGTAAAGCAGGGAGGTGGGAAGAGTCCCAGGGCGGTCACCCCACTGCCCCAGAGTCTGGGAGGTGTGTGGGGGCAGGTTCCTTCATCTCCCCAGGTTGGCAAGCACCCTCAGATGTGCGAAGGCAGGGACGCACAGCTTTAGAAGGATGCCTCCCACCCCCCGACAGGGAAGCTCGGGGTGGGTGGTGAGTGACTGTCCCCTCCCATCAGGACTTCCCATAGTTCACAAATCGCCCAGGGTGTACTCCTGCTACTCCCCTAGTGCGGAGGGAGGGGTGTGCTCACTGACCTTGACCCCGGGTGGGCCGGCGGGTCCCTGTGGGACAGAGAAGGAAAGTAGCCTGAGGTCCTGCAGGGAGGGCCTTCCTCCCACAGGTGCTGGCGGCCCCGGGCAGTCCCAGGAGCAATGGTCTGTTCTGGGCACCAGCTGGACCCCTCAGGCAGCACACGGGAGACCGGGGCAGGTGAGCCTGGTGCCCTCCACCAGTGACGGCCACCGTTTGATGGGAGAGATGGGTCAGCGCCTTCGAGCAGACGGGCCGCCGCCCTTGGTCCCGCCCCAGGCATGGGCTGCACAGCTTTGCTGTGACCCCCCCAGGGTCTCCATGCCCTCCACGGTCTTAAACAGCCCTGCTGACCCCTCCAGGGTCAAAGGCATTGAATCTGTGTACTCTGGTCTAGGACCCATCCCCCTGAGACCTTGCTGCCACCTCTCGGCGGGTCCCTCTGCCCTTGGGTCACGGCAAGAATGACCTTGGATCACATCCACGGGAGGCCCAGGCAGCTAACTGAGCCCAAGACCAGGGGCTTCTATTACTTAAAAGACACCAAATTACAGGGCAAACAGCTCCCCAGGGGACTCCTTTCCGCCAAGAGGAGGTTCCCCTTAATGTTGCCAGCGGCTCACCCTCGCCAGGTGGGGTCTGGGCCCATGGTGGACGCTGGCTGAAGGGCGTCGGGCGTCCCGTGGCCATGACCGAGGCACTGCCCACCCCCAGGACGTGCCCCTCACCTGTGCTAAGTCCTGGGCCTTCCAGGGCACCAGCAGCTCCAGCCAAACCCAGGCCCAACCCGCACACATGTTAACAGCAGAACGAGGTGGGATTCCACGGGAACGTGCCCGTGTTCACTGAAAAAATTCTAGTCTGGTCAAAAGTTTATTATGTCCCCAAGTTGGAACCATACAGAGGCTGGAGGATGCTACTTTCTGAAGACCTGTCTTTCAGGGCTGTGCCCCCCGTCCACTCACTGCACCACCGGGGCACTTTCCCACGTGCAGAGTCCGCTCCTGTCCTAAGGGCCCGAGTGTGGATGGTGCCAGGAGCCAGCGGCCTTGCTGGTCCCACTTGGGGGCTGGGCCCAGGGACATCCCCTCCCCAAGAGCCGAGTGAGCCCCACGAGGACAGTACCTGCGGCCCGCTGGCTCCTTGAGCCGTCGGCCAGAAGGGTACCCCGGAGCCTTCCATGTCATCCTGCAGAGAGCACAGGAGGGGCGCCTGGGCTGGGGTCTTTTACAGGAACAGCCCCCTCCTCGAGCCAGCCACTGGCACAGACTCGGCCGTAGATGAGTGGGGTGGGCTCCGAGGGCCGAGGAGAAGCAGCAGGGACCCCGCTGGGCCCGGGCAGCCCTCCTGCGCACGTGCCGGGGGCCGGGCTGTCTGACGGGGTCTGGTTTCTGCTGTCGTCCTGCGGAGAAGCCTTCCCGCAGCGTGTACCAGACACGGTCCCTGAGCAGGGACCGCACGAGGAAACGGGCAGCGGCTCCTTCCCACGGCTCACAGGTCCACCGGGCGGCACCGTCCAGGTGCTGCCACGGCCGGGAGTTGGGCAGGGCCATAAGTAGCCTGCCTGCGCCCGGGGCTCGGACAGGGCTGGAGACACCGCCAGTCGGGGTGCGGTGCCCGGGGATGTCTGGGGGCGGCAGCCACTGGTACTCACAAACCCTGTGGTGAGTCCTGGTCCTGGTGGCCCGGGGGGGGCCGGGGGGCCCTGGTGATCCGGCTGGTCCGGGGGCTCCTGCCAAGCCATTCTCCCCAGGAGCGCCAGCGGGGCCGGGGTCACCCTTGTCTCCCTGCACAGGTGGGGAGACAGGATGTTCCCACTCCCGGCTGAGCCCTGAGAAGCCGCGGCCTCCCCGGTGCCCCCACTTTCCTCGCACGCTCTCTAACCCCCCTGAGGAGCCCACCCGAGAGCGGACGTAGGACGAGCACACCTGGCAGCCCCCGTTCCTGCTCTGACTTTGGGAGCCGACCGAAACCACGAGGGTGACCGGGAGGACGGCCTGGGAGGCCTCGGGCTCTCCGGCAGAAGCCGTTATTCCCGCCGGCGCCCGGCCAGACTCTCCCATGCCCCCGCCAATCTGGGCGCGGCCACACCATCACGGTCTCTCCCGTGTCACGTGAGCGGAAGCGATGTGCACCCCTGGGACCCACGGGACGTAGAGAGAGAAGGAGCTGGGGGCCCCAAATGATCGCAATGAAAGGGAGCCAGGGCCCTGCGACCAGACGCCTGACACAGACTGTTAGCGCAGCAAGACACAGGCTATCGGCCGCGTCAGAGAAGTGGACAAAGTGAGACGAGGCCAGGACACCCGCAGACGCACACGCTGAGACCCGCCCTCCAGGTCTGGGGCAAGGCGGTGCGGGGCGGAGGGGTGGGGAGGGGCCGTGGCGGGCCAGTGAGGGAGGGCGCCCCGAAGCAGTGACGCGGGGGGAGCATGCGGGGCCCAGAGCACGCGGTGGGGGGGGCGTGCGGGAGCAGGAGGGCGTGAGCGGCTGGGATGCCTCTGAGGGCACCTGGGTCCCAAGGGCCCGGTGCCTGCCAGCGTGTGAGCAGGGTAAGGGAGTGGGGAGCCGAGGCAGGGGCCCCCCTGCAGAGGGCTGGGCTCAGGGCAGGGGCCGTCCTGAGGCCAGTTTAACAAAGAGTCGGAGTTCTGACATATTAGCACCCTCTGACCTGAGGGCCGACCTCAGCAGAATCGTAAACTCTGCTTCCCTGGTTTTAGTCTTCCTGCTTTCCAGTCCCATTAGACCCGCTTGTCTGGTACCTTCCACCTTCGGGAAGCTTCTGTGTTAACGTCTGTGCTCGGGCATCCCCGCCCGCGCTGACCTCTCCTATGTATTTTTCCAGCCTCCCACCCAGCGGACTCATCCGCTGTCTCATCCGTACCTTAGGTCCCGGGGCGCCCGCGTCGCCCTGCAGGAGAGAGACGACAATCACTCAAAGCCCAAGATGGGCAGCCGACGCGGGGGAAGCAAACGGTTTCACTCATTTCATCCCGGCCCACAAGGTCACCCTCACTGAGCCGACCTCGTCCTGTGCGGCGCCCGGGAGACGGGCTCAAGCGCTCTGGGGGAGCCCTTCCGGCCCAGCACACCTGCGGGGTTGCCGTCCCCACCCCGTTCCAGGAGGGACGAGGCTCGACGGGGAGGGGGGATGATGGCTGCCGCCCCCAGGGGGAGAGCCCCTCTAGCCCAGCCGTCCCCACGGTGAGGGCCCCAGCACAGCGGGTCACAGACCACACCCCTGCTCAGCCCCACGCCGCCAGGCGCTCACAGAAGGGTCACACGGAAGACAGCCGGCATCCCCACCCTGGAAACCCCAGCTGTAACCAGAATTAAAACCTGAGACAGAACTTCCAAATCAAGTGTCAGTCTTACTCAAAACCCAACCCCCTTAGCCCGCTCGTTTCCGGAGCAAACACTAGGCCCAGCGTCCTGAATTTTTGCGTTGTTCTCGGCCAACTCCAGAGGCTGCCAGCCCCCACTGTTAGACCCCCAGCAGCTTCGACAGATGGCGGATGGTGGCGCACGCTGGAGTAAGGCCACCTGCCCTGTGCGGCCGCCTTTGTGGTGTTTCCCGTGCGCGCAGGTCAACAGCCCCCAGACTTACGGGGCTGCCTTTCTGGCCCGTCTTCCCTGATCCCCCGTCTCTTCCTGGAGGGCCTGGCGGTCCCTGGGGGAGAAAAGCAGAGTGTGGGGCAGACGGAACTCAGTCGCGAAGAAAGATTCATGGGTTCGCGGACGACACTCTGAGCACGTGCTCTCCCCGGAATCCAGGCCTCAGACCCTCCCCTGACGGGCCAGATCGCAGCGCGCCAGAGACCCCGACCGCGGCTCACAGGCCGCACACAGCAGGCGCAATTTTTACATTTCTTTCCTCTCCTCTGCTTTTGTTGGGAGTTGCTCCGGTACGGGAGGGGGAGGAGGGGTGGTCACCCGCCAGGGACGGGAGCTGCCGCCAGATGCCACATGATGCACACCTGGTTCCCGTGGCCCAACCAGACACAATAGTCCCACGTGTGGCATCGCTGGGTGCCTGGGCCCCTCCCTCCGAGGACTCAGGGGTGTGGCCAGGCCAAGCCCGGGTGGGGACAAGGACAGGAGGGGCAGGAGGCAGGCCTTACCGGGGTGCCAGGAAGCCCAGGGGGCCCGTCCCGCCCGGGCACACCAGGGAGGCCGGCGGGTCCTGGCACGTCTGAGCTGTTCATCCCGAAGCGGCCTGGCTCTCCGGGCAGGCCTGGGACGCCTGGGGGCCCCGGGGGGCCGGGGAAGCCTCTGGGGCCCTGCACATGGAGAACCACAGGGCGGTCACGGCTCGCAGCTCCTGCCAAGGGACGGCCCCCACCCCCACGGGATTCACGTGCCCACGGAGCCGGCAGGACCTGGGGACACTCACCCGGAGGCTCTCCAGGTCTCCGCCGAACCCGGACCCCTCCATGTCGATGAAGGTCTGAGGTAGAGAGCCCACAGACATGGCATCGGGAACCCAGGCCCTCCCAGCCGGCTGTCCCCTTGCCTGAGGTCAGTGGGTAGGGGCTCGCCCTGGCCTGATACTCCCCGTAAGCCCTGCCCATGCGGCCCACAGTTGGGAGGATGCAGTGAGAAGCCACAGCGGGAAGGGCCGCAGCCTGCCAGACGGAAGGATCCAGAGCCTGGCAGGCCCCACGGACCCCTACTCCCTGCAGCCCGCAAGGCAGGGGCCGACCCCCACGTCTGGACACCCTTTTGGGAAGCGGGTGAGTCCGAAGAAGGTGTGTTACAAAGCCAAGCCGGGAAGAGGGTCCTCGTCCTGGGGCGGCAGACGGGCCCATGCTGGAAGGGACCACAGCCGCAACTCACCAGCTTGTCATGCCTGAAGGAGGGTCCTGGTGGCCCTGGAGGCCCTTGGGGTCCTGGAGGTCCTCTCGGCCCGACCCCGGGGTCCCCCTGGGGAAAAAAGACAGCAGTTACGTCAGGGTGCATGGCCCTCGCTGCCATCAGGGCTGGGGAGCCGGGGGCCCTGACCCTCAGATGCTCACCTTCTCGCCCTTGGGGCCCGCGTCTCCCGGGGTCCCGGGAAAGCCCTGTGGCCCAGGGTCGCCCTGGAAAACAAAGACCAGCAGCTCGGTCAGGGAGCGGGCCCTTTGCCGTCGCAGACAGGCGGCCGGGCAGACAGCTGAGCCAGGAGGAGCCGACGGAGGAGGAACACGTAACTGTGCATTTTTCTCTCAATAGTTAGACTCGTATTTTCTTGACAAAAGTTAAGCTGAATTTTCAAAATGGCTTCATTCTGAAATCTCTGTGCTGAGCTGAGTTGAGAGTGTCACAGGCACAAAGCCTGAAGGTCTCACACCAATGCGACAGATAAAGCCAGCTCTGGAAGAAAGGCCAACTTACCGCTCTCCCGTCTTCACCAGGATCCCCCTGGAACGAGCGAGAGAACCGTGAGCCACAGAGAGCGATACCCCATGTCCCCACACCGATCTGAACACGGACCTGGAGCCCCGCACCCCAAGCCCCATGGAAGGGCCAGGAGTGGACCCGGAGAGCCTCCCTCCCCACACGCTGTGGGTGGCCCTGCCAGCCTCCTGGCACAGGGAGGATGTGGCCTCGAGGTCAGGGCTAGCCCGAAGTCGCCCTCCCAGGACCTACTGGTTGGCCACATCCCTCCCACCTGTCCCCTCCTGCCCCAGCCCATCACCCTGGCCCAGCCCAGCAAAGGTAGACTCACTGGCTCGCCGTCCCTTCCGGGGATGCCATCCTTCCCTGGTGGCCCTGGGGGGCCAGGGGGGCCCTGCGGCCCGGGTACAGGCGGTGCCTCAGGGCTCCGCACAGCAGGACCCTGGGGATGAAGAAGCGAGGGCACAGGCTGAGGGGCCCACAGCTGCACCCTCCACAGTCCCAGGGACACGCCCAGGACACAGAGCGGGTTCTGGTGCCAACCAGGCCAGCCACACGCTCCTAGCACTGCGAGGGGCCACTGGTGCCCCTGGGTGCAGCCCCAGGACAAGGACAGAAGAGGCAGTGTAGCCCCAGGAGCTGTGCCGGGGTCCCCCATGCATGCTAGATGCACCGCCCACCCGGAGTCAGGGAAGGGGCCTCACCTCATCCAGGCCGCCCCCGAGGCTCCAAACGCTCCCTGCGGTGACCATATCCAAGCTGGGGAGGGTCCGAGCTGCGGGAGCAGAGGCGGCCGTCATACCCGGAGCACGGCCCAGCGGCACGTGGGGCTCACGGCCCGACCCAGGCTGCCTGCAGTCCCAGGACGCGGCCTACCTGGAGCCCAGCTGTGTCCTTGACGCATCGATGCGTGTGCACACGCACACACTCACCCGCACATGTGTGCACACACAGTTCATGTGCACACACACGTGCACACTTTCACGCACACACACATGCGGCACATGTGCACACACTCGCATATGCGTGCGCGGACATGCACACTCACACACATGTGCACTGCCTTGCACACATGTGCACACACGTTATTCCTTCTCTTGCCAAGCCCCTAACACTTGCTGCGTTCATCGCAACCCTTCCTCTAGAATGCCACACTCCCCCCAAGCTCGAGGACGCTGTCCTGCGCCAGGTGGTCACATCAGGACGTCTCGTGCTGTTACACACAGTGACTGAACAGCTCGGATCAAAGCGTCTCCACTGGCTCCACACCGTCCTCTGTAGCTTCTTCCTGGGGACGGTGGACAGTGGACGTGCCAGGACCCCAGGAAGTGAGCTGCCCGTGGGCCAAGTCCGGCCAGATGGGCCGCTGGCCTGCCTCAGGAGGGCCCGGAGCTGCGGACGTTTCCACAGAGCTCCGGGGCAACACCACCAGGCAGACCAGAGACCCCAGAGCACAGGCCCCTGAGACACCAGCCACCGGCTCGCCCTGCTGATGCCAGGACAGGCTCAGGATGGCACCTTCCCCTTTGTGACTGACAAGGAATTTGGGGGATGCACTAAGGCTGCTCCCCCAAACCTTCATCCACTGGGGTCCGCACTGCCAGGCAGTTGGAAGGCCCGGGGCTCACGCGGCCCATTTGCCGAGGGAGCTTGGGAGGAACATTCTTCCCCTGTGGGGGAGGGGGATGGGTGCTCTGGCGGGTTCGCAGGTAGCGTGTGGGGACCACAGGGGATCTGAGGCCCTTCAGCTAACCAGGGACAGGTGCCCACGCCATCCAGGGCCATACCCGTCTCCACCCTCCCCGGCACAGCTCTGCAGGACCCTGTCTTGCGTCCAGAAGGAATCTGAGCCATGTCCACACTCCACGGTGTGGGGTGCCAGCTAGAGCCCTTGACCACAGCCCCTGACCACCCTGCCAGTGCTCCCGGATGGCCCTGAGCCCCATAGACTGGCCGTCAGACACAGCCCACTGCGGACCCCCCACGAGGCTCCGGTCGGCGCAGGAGGGCGGCCTCCTCCCGTGGCAGACAGCATGGCGTGCGAACCTCTGCGGCCTGTATGCCCAACACTGGCACGATCAAAGGCAAACGTAAGATCTCCGCCTCAGCGAGCGTTGAAACAGCAATGTCTCGTTGAAGGAAAACAAAGGAGAGAAACCGTGTTTGGATGACTCGGAGCTGCCAGGCTGCCCGTACCTCCTCCAGGACCGGCCACGGGGCCAGAGACGTTCTGGCCAATGGTCCCGCTGGCCGTCCTTGCAGAAAAGACAAATGGAGTCTAAAACGCACAAGGAAATGCAAAGGACGTAAAAACCAGAGCAGCTTCCCAAAGAGACAGCAAATCTGGACGTCACACAACATCATCTCGAGACATTACAAAGCTCCGGGAATCAGGACGGTGTGGCCAGAGGGACTCACGGAACAGCATGGGAGTCTAGGGACAGACGCATACACAGGGACCTGATTTCCAACAAGGGCAACATCGCAGCTCAGCAGGAGACAGGAATAAAGGGGAGGGGAGGGGAGGGGAGGGGAGGGGAGGGCACGGAGGGGAAGGGGAGCTGAGAACCATACTTTATGCCAAATACCAAACTGAACTCAAAGTAGGTCACAGAGTAAAATGCAAAGCCTGGGACCGTGACCCTGACCAGAACACGTCAGAAAGCCTTTGTGGTCTTGGGCTGGGCCGACTTCCCGGACACAGCAACAGAGCTGAGATCCATGAACGAACGGGTTGATAGATGGAGTTTCATCTGAACTCATAACTGACCATTTTGCCCTTCTAGCGACACTATTAACAAAAAGAGGAGATAAACCCCAGACTGAAAAATTATTCACAGAACCAGCCTGAGCGCGAAAACTCCCAACACGCTGGGACGGGAAAGTGCGCAGCCCGCGGAGATCAGGACGGATTCCTTCCCGAAGACAACGCGTGAGCGGCACAGGAGCCCGTGGAAAGGGGCTCAACAGCGCCGGTCACGGGGACTGGCTGGGCCCGAGCTGCCCGGTGCACCTGCTAGGATGGGCGTGATGGAGGGTGGCCATGCCCAGCGCCGCCCAGGAGCGGCGGGGACGGCATCTGCAGCCGCTGCCTTGGGAAACGGTCAGCAGCCTTTTGGCTAGTGAAGGGCAAACCCACGTCCAGGCCCCGCCGTCCCCCCTGAGGTGCTGACTGGGAGACACGGGAGCCGGTGTCCCCGCAGAGGCTCGCCTGGAACCCACAGCATCTCCGCCCTAACAGCCCCAACCTGGACACGACGTGGTGCCCCCCTACAGCTGAGTGGACGGACAGCTCCAGGTCCACCCACACATGGAGACCCCCAGACCAATGGTGCCGAGTCACAACATCATGATTCCAACAAGAAGGCACGGGGCGTACGATCCCAACACGTCCCGTTCCAGAGAATGCCTGCGTCCACACTGACCGAGAGATCAGGTGTCGCTGGGGCAGGGCAGGGGCAGGACAGAGGGATTGCAAAGTGGGTGACAGCCATCTGGGGCTGGGGCACGCGGCCATGCCCTCTTTGTGATGCTTTCACAGGAGGACACGTGGGTCCCAACTCATCAGACCATATGGTTTAAACACACCCAGTTCACTGTGCGCGGATCATACCAGACACAAAACCAGAAAGTGACCCCAGGCCCATGAGGGCGGCTCCCAAGGGCTCCTGGGACAGCCCTGGGCTGGGGGCACAGTGAGGCCGGGGTGACCCTGTAGCCCCGGGGGTGTAAGTCCCTCACTCGGGACCCCGAGGGGCCAGACTGTCCGCCAACCTCGCCCAGCTTGGCTGCAGCCCTGGGGAGCTGCTCCGTGACCACCGCTCCCAGCACCAGGTCCTTGGAGGAGGGCACGCGGAACGTGAATGGCGGGGTCCTGGGGGACCGCCCGTCAGGTCTCTACGTTTCTAAGCTGCACTGAGCATGTATCATTTCAGTAATTTTTTGACACCAATAAATTCTTCTCTTTAAAATAAAAAATGTCTACATCCCTTTCTCCAGCCTCGACGTGAGCGTGGAAGCCGGAACCCCGCCGGCGTCTCCGTAGGCTCCCTTGCCCTGCTCCACCCGCCAGACCCGAGTCTAGCGCTGCGGGGGGCACTCTGGAGGTGTGGCTTGGAGGTTACCGAGTAGCCGACTTACAGGTCGGGAGATTAACCTGGATTATTGGGGTACAACCCAATAATCCCCCAAAACTGTAGAGGAAGGAGGAGGGGTGAGGCGGGAGGGGAGGTTCGGGAAATTCAAAGCAGGAAGAGGACTCCCCCTGCCGTGGCTGGCGTGGAAGATGCGCGGGAGGCCAGGAACCGAGGAACGGGGGTGGCCCTTAGGACCTAGGACTGATCCCTGGGGACCCTCTGTCCTACAGCCGCAGGGACCTGAGTTCTCCTAAGAAACTGAGTGAGTGGGAGGCGGGCTGGGGGCCGCCAGGAGAGGACGCAGCCCTGGGACTGCGAGGGAAGACACGGGTGCCCCCCGCCCCCAACAGCCGCGTTCCCAGCGACCCGTTAGCAACAACAGACAGCTGATGTTCTCCGTGTGCCCGAGGCCCCACAGCCCTACCTGACCCCGGCCAGCAGACCCCCCACCATGGTCCCCAGGGAATGTCCCCGACCCCACATGTGGACCCGGGGCAGGCCTAGTTCACGGAGGTCCTGGGCAGAGGCCGATCTGTCCCACGAAGTGTCCCCCCAAGCCAACTCCCATGTCCTCCCAGCGAGGCCGCAGCACCCGTGGGACGGCCCCGCAAACCCCCACCAGCCACAGCAGCATGAGAAATGGACCACAAAGAGCAGGCCCAGAGCTCTTCGGCGACGCACCCGGGGCCACCAGGGGACCAGGTGGGCACTGCCCACTCCCCCGGTAGGGCGTGTGTCCGTGAAGGACAGAGCCCCTTGCTGCCCGGGCACACCACGGACACAGACGCCACACCAGCCCACGGTTTTACCTGCCAACGCAGACACCGTGGTTTCTTCCTCAATTTCTTCGGTTCTGGAATCTTCCTCATTCCCGCCCGCAGCCAAGGGTGGAGAAGTGACCGGGGGAGCCTCAGGGAGGCTGGGTTTGGACGACGGACCCTGGCAAGTGACAGCGGGAGAAATGGCTCTGTTATTTGGTGACCACGGGTGTCCTGGGCACGGGAGTGGGGCAGGCCCATCGGGTGACGACGTGGTTTGTCGGGTCAGACGCTCACAGATTCTTACAAAAGACGGCGACAAAGACCAGGGGCTTCATCTTAGACAGGAGATGTGCCCAGCCCCCCATGGCTGTCTTCTCCTAAACGGCCCGTGGGGCCCAGATCCCCTGACGCCCCGAGCTGGAGCTCTTCCTGCGCCCGCTCCGCTCGCTCGGGCCCAGGGCAGCCCCGCGCTGACACCCAGGGCCCTGATTCCTCCTCAAGGTCAGGGACCTGCCAGGTAGGGGGGGATCACAGACACCCGTCGGGGGGCGGGAGCCTCCGGCATTTCACGGCCCAGGCGGCACGGGGCACGACTCGTGCTGGGCGGGGGCCACGCACGACTGGGCATGTCACAGCTGGGCCGGGAGGCTGACGCGCACCCTGAGGAGGGCAGGCCGGCTCTGCTCAGAAACCCCATCTTCCTGGCCCCGCCCCCCAGCCCACTGGAGCCCCGGACGTGTCAGCCCAGCACGCAGATGTCCACACACGCCGTCCAGGCTTCTTGCAAGCGTCCGACCCACAGGGGACCTGAGCTCCCTGGTGACTCTGTGCTGATCTGGGCCCCTGGTGACCGTCATTCCTGGGAGGCCAGTCTGAGGGCCTGTCCGAGGCCACACACCAGGCCTCCTCCTGCACCACAGCCCCGTGGATCTGGGGGACCCCCAAGCCCCAGCAGCCCCCCGACATCCCAGAGCCTCTGAGCATGAGAGATGGAGGCGCAGGCCCGGCCGTGGAGAGTGGGCGGGGTCCCTTAGAGGCCACGTGTGTCCCCAGCCGCACCTGCCCACCCCACACCGGCTGTGGCCCTGTCCTCTGCGCTCGGGGAAGCCGCCGCGGGCCGGCCAGCCAGATTTCCCAAACCGGAGCCTGGCCGGGTGTGGATTCCCAGCTCGAGGGCCACAGGTCATGGGGCCGAGGGTGAACGCACGTGACCAGCTCTGGGTCCTCAACCCCTCTGCCCCCGACAGGGGCCACAGAGCCCCGTGCTTCATGCCATGGCCGTGACAGAGCTCAGAACCCCATTTCCATGGGGTCAGCCTGCCTGATGCACTGGTTTGCACCAGGGAACCCTGGGGTGACAGGAGCCCAAATCCAGCCCGTGTCTGCAAGGAGTCCACAGGCTCTCTGACACGGGCGGGGGCTGTCACGGGCACCATGCATGGATGCTACGTCCAGGGGGCCCGCCAGTTGCCCTCCCAGAGCTGCTTCAACCAGTGCAAGGCTGGGGGTCCCCAGCACCCCGTGTGGATGGAGCTCAGGACCCTGCCTGTCCTGGCCCCCCGGTGCGTGAACTCAGGGACAAGGCAACGGGGGGTGAAGCTGGGGGGAAGGGCAGGGGGCAACCCATTTGTGCAAATTGAAGAAAGGCTGCCTTTTCCCTCCCGTGCATTATTTCAGGGGTGGGAGCTAGGTGAGTTCTGACTCGGCCTCCGGAACCTTCCTCACCGAAATGCCGGAGTTACGAGCTAATGTGGAAGCGTAAACGGAACATCGAGGTCACCCTCCCAGGCCCAAAGAGGGTTCAGAATCATAAACCGAATTTTAAATCTCCTTAGGGGCCACCCAAGTCCCAGTGTTCCCGTGTCCAGCTGAGAATGTGTCCGCAGGTCCCAGAGAGCCCGTGCAGGTGTCCCGCGCGTGCTCACACGGCCTCGCTGCTGGGTGGGGGTCCCAGGAGGGCAGCCCCGGCTTCATGGCACTCACCGACGGCTCCCTGAGGGGCTCCCGGGTCTCCTCCAGCCCGCTCCCGAAGTCTCCGGACGCCTGCGGGCATACAGGGAAGGAGGAAGCCACTGACCGAAGGGCATCCGTGCGGGGTCAGCTGGCCGCCAGTGGGCACGCCAGTCAGACCTATGCCGAACCACCAAGAGACACGCTCCCTTCCTTGGACTTGTCATCCCGTTCCGGGGCCACGGCCTGGGAAAGAGCTGGAGGACAAGACGGGGCGGGGAGCTCCGGGCACAGTTGTCAACACGAAGGCCACGGGGGAACGGCCTGATGGCACTGCACAGAGCGGCCGCAGCCGCGGGACATGTGACCCGTCCTCTCACCCCTGCGCTGCTCACCCACACGGCTGAGGACCTCACTCTGCTCGTGGCCGTGGGGTCCCTTGGGGGCATCCCGAGCTCTGGATTCTCCCTGGGAAACCGGCTTTCCCTGCTCTGTCCCTCACGTCCCGAGAGCGGGATTTTCTTCTTTTGATCCCATGCACGCGCATCTGGCTGTGGGGGCTGCGGGCGACCATGCCACCCGACAGGCGTCTCGGGATCGCTGTCCCCCTCCATGTTCGCTGTGAGTTTTCAAGCAGCGAGTTTGAGGCAGGGAAGGCTCTGACGTTGTGGGTAAAGGAAGATGTAGCCCCAGGTTCTTGGTGCCCAAACAGCATCTTTCCAAGGAGACCCTTCCAGTCCCACCACGCTGCGGTTCCTGGCACCCACGTGCCCCGGGCCCTCCGCCTCGGGTAGGGGTGGGGGGCGAGGGAACCCCGACACTCACCCCGCCGCTGTCCTCATCGTCCTCCTCCAGACAGTGCAGGGAGCTCACATGGGGGTCCCTGCGCACCCTCAGCTCTGCGATCGCCCCCTAAAGGCAGAGGGAGAGCAGGGTCACTGCCGGTCCCGAGGCAGGTGGTGCGGACAGGCTGGCACCCAGTGCGGAGCCCGGTGACCTCGGCGGGGAAACAGCGGAGCGAGATCCAGACGAACCCTAATCAGAGAGATCGCGCTCGGGTCGCTCCCCTGGGCTCCAAAAGCATCCGTGTGCGGGACGTGGGGTGGAGGCTGTGCTCCCAGAGGGTGCGGCGTAAGACGCGCACCACGGGCCCTGAGGAGCACCAGCACACGTGTCCTCCCCAAACCCAGGGGCTTGGGGCCTGGGGAGCTGGCGACGGGGGAGGGGGAGCTGCGTATTACCCCAGCTATTTTGGGGGCCACTGGAGTCAGTGACCGGAAACCGGCAGGCGTGCCCCAGGGCACGGGCGGCTCAGACCATCCCTGGAGTTGGAGGGGTGCTTCCCAGGACGCGACTGCCAGGCGGCAGGCACACGAGGCCACAGGGCCTCCCGCGACACCTGCTGCGACGTGTCCCTGCCTGGAAACAGTGAGTGTCCACACGTGTGTTTTCTAGCGTTTTCTTTGTTTCTCAACACCTCAACCCCGGGGACGTCCGCCGGCGCATTGCTCCCCGGTAGAAGCCGTACTCAGCCAGTCTGAGAGGTCCCGGCGTAGAACGGCTGGGCGGGCTGCCAAGCACGCAGGTGTCCATCCCGACCGCAGGGCGTCGTGCTGCGGTCAACCCCGCAGGACACGCAGGACTGAGCATGGCCCTGCCCGGCGCGACACACACCACGATGTCGTTCATGTGACCTCCGTGTGTCCCCAGAGTCTCCTGATCTCCCCAACCATGTGCACACGCGGGGGCCCTTCTCGCCGCGTCTGCACACGTCCACAGGCCACGAGCCGGCACCACCTACACCGTTCTGTTTGTCCTCCCAGACGACCTTCAGACTCCCTTCCTCAGCTGACCCTCGACCCCATGACCTTCCTGCTCCACACTAACGAGAAGCACGTGACAACCAACCAGCAACACGCCACCGTGTCCCCAGCTGAGCTGTGCCTGAGGGTGCACGTGCCTCCCGAGGCTGCCTCCTCCAGGAAGCACTCCTGGATCCCTACCCAGGACAGTTATCACCTTGGGGCCAGTTCTGCTGACTCTACTGGCCCCTCCACCTCCCACTGCTGACAGTGAGGCCTGGGGGGGCCCATCCCGTCTCCGTCTGTGTGTCACACGTGCTCGCGGATATGCGTGGTACAGGCGCCACGTGTGTGCACGTGTCTGTGCTCACGTGTGTGGTCTGCACACGTGTGCTTGCTCTGACTCACACCCCTGCTCCTGGGAGGCCGAGGACGGCTGGACCCAGGTGGGACTCGGCGGGAGGAAGGCCCTGTCGCCCCACCGTTACCCAGAACTCTGCACACTTGCAGCTGGACCCGTGCCCCAGCGTGTAGGGAGGCGGTGGCTGAGGACACGGGTGGGGAGGCAGCGAAGGCCACTGGGTGGCACACACACCACGTTGTCCTTCACAGGGGCCCGCAGATGGGCCGACATTACGGGCCGCAGGCATGACTCACGGATGTCACGGTGGCCACCAGCTCCCACGCTGGTGTGGGGCTGCGCCAAGGTGCAGAGGGTCACGTCCCGTGGCTGGGCTGACATCTGAAGGCGGGAAAACGGTGGCCACAGGTGGGACCACGTACCTCACGGTCACCGTTGTGTCCACCTAGCCACCACGTGTTCCCAAAGATCAGAGGCAGGGACTGCCGTAGCTCTGTGGTCCACACCGTGGACCGTGGCCCCAGGAGGAAAGGGACTGGTTCTCCGCCAGACTCGGGGTGGTCGTCGGTTCCAGAAAGTTCACTGGGGCGGCCGGCTGATGTCCGGGACTCATTGCACTCCAAGGGAAGCTGACAGCCAGCGTCCTGATCAGGGAGTCAGGAGCAGGGGCCTGGTGGATGTCCGTGGGCCTGTCCCAGGCTAGTGGGTGGCTGCTTTGCAGGGGGAGGCAGTGGCCAGAGACTAGCGCCTGAGACTAGCCCAACCAAAGCAGCAGGTGCCTGTGTCTAACCCTGTCTAACCCTGAGCCCAGCAGGGCCCCCCATCAGATCTAGGGCCATGGTCACTGCTCCCTGCCTCCTCCTCCTGCCACCGCCCCCCACCAAGGGCAGTGCAGTCCCGCAGCGTCTCCACAAAACACAGGGTCAGAGTGAGGCCCAGCCCTTCTCCCAGCAGTCGCCAGGGAACCCGCCGCAGAGCCGTCAGCGGACGCGGGGAGGCCCTGACTGACCGCTTGCGACTCCTGCCAAGAGCTCTTCTGC